CTATAACTTAAATTGCCAGGCATACCATCTAAAGGGGACAAAAAGATACAAAAACATCCAGGCCAGGGGAAAACCTGGGTAGCCACAGCCACTCAAGAGGGAGGAGGTTTTTTAGTGCCAGGAAGAAAAAAAACTGGCAGGAAAAGGCAGAAATCGTACACCAAATCCAGTCATTCTGGAGTGGAACACAGTCGATGGCCTCCACTCCAAACCAACAGATACAGATACTAATGCCGGAAAAAAAATCCCCCCCAGTACCAACAATACCACCAGTCCGATAACATTCTTCTTTGCAAATATACAGGGTCTAAGCCAGCTACAAACAACAAAATACCTTTCATCCGTGGACTGCTTGCAGAGGCAAAGGCAATGTTCGCGGCTTTCACTGAGACCCACATAAGGATCACTTGGACAAACGAAGTATGGATCCCAGGTTACAACCTATACAGATGTGACAGAGTGAACAGGCAAAAGGGGGGGTTGGCCTGTACATTGCAGAGTCACTTGTTTGCACAGAAACTGCTTAATGCCTCAAATGACGTAGTGGAAGTTTTAGTAGTAAAGGTCGAGAACCAAAACCTAGTCTTTGTGGTAGTCTACAAGCCTCCGGAGCAACATCCCAGCAATTCCAGGAACAGCTGTTAAAAATTGACCACTGTCTGGAAAACTTCCAGCTCCTGCACCCAACATCTTGCTCCTGGGGGATTTCAACTTAAGGCACCTAAAATGGAGGAATATAGCAAATAATATTGTTGCAGAAATAACACCAGGAGGCAGCTCTGATGAAAACTCACACTCACACGAGCTTTTAAATCTCTGCACAAAATTCAATTTAAACCAGCAAATAATAGAGCCTACAAGACTGGAGAATACACTAGACCTATCTTCACTAAACAATGATGATCTGATAAGAAATGTCACCATATCAAAAACAATATACTCAGATCACAACATATTGGGTTCAGACATGTATGCATGGAGCCCCAGACCGACAAAATGAGACTAGTCATGAGGGAGCATTCACCAAATTCAACTTCAATAACAAAAACATAAAGTGGGACCAAGTAAACCAAGTCCTAACCGATATAAGCTGGGAAGATATACTAAGCACACAGACCCAAACTTATTGCCTAGACAGATTAACTCGGTGGCACTCGATGTATGCACAAGGCTTATTCCTCTAAGAAAAAGGAGGAGTAGATGTAAAATAGAAAGAGACAGGCGCTCCCTTTACAGGCGACGGAAAAGAATAACAGAGCGGCTAAAAGAGGTCAATATATCTGAAATGCGCAGGGAGACACTGGTCAGAGAAATAGCAAGCATCGAACTTAAGCTAAAAGAATCCTTTAGGAGTCAGGAATCGCGGGAAGACTAAAAGCCATAAATGAAATCGAAGAAACCCAAAGTATTTCTTCTCCTATGCCAAATCAAAATCGAGAACAACGTCCAGTATTGGCCCTACTTAAACAAGATGGGTCCTACACAGATGACAGCAAGGAAATGAGTGAGCTACTCAAGTCCCAATATGACTCAGTTTTTAGCAAGCCGCTAACCAGACTGAGAGTCGAAGACCAAAATGAATTTTTTATGAGAGAGCCACAAAATTTGACTAACACAAGCCTATCCGATGTTATCCTGACGCCAAATGACTTCGAACAGGCGATAAATGACATGCCCATGCACTCTGCCCAGGGCCAGACTCATGGAAACTCTGTGTTCATCAAGAACTGCAAGAAGCCCCTATCACGAGCCTTTTCCATCCTATGGAGAGGGAGCATGGACACGGGGGTCGTCCCTCAGTTTACTAAAAACAACAGACATAGCCCCACTCCACAAAGGGGGCAGTAAAGCAACAGCAAAGAACTACAGACCAATAGCACTAACATCCCATATCATAAAAATCTTTGAAGGGTCCTAAGAAGCAAGATCACCACCCATCTAGAAACCCATCAGTTACACAACCCCGGGCAACAGGGTTTTAGAACAGGTCGCTCCTGTCTGTCTCAACTACGGATCACTACGACAAGGTCCTAAATGCACTAGAAGACAAAAGAATGCAGATGTAATATATACAGACTTTGCAAAAGCCCCTTCGACAAGTGTGACCATGGCGTAATAGCGCACAAAATGCGCGCTAAAGGAATAACAGGAAAAGTCGGTCGATGGATCTATAATTTCCTCACAAACAGAACACAGAGAGTAGTCGTCAACAGAGTAAAGTCCGAGGCAGCTACGGTGAAAAGCTCTGTCCCACAAGGCACAGTACTAGCTCCCATCTTGTTCCTCATCCTCATATCCGACATAGACAAGGATGTCAGCCACAGCACCGTGTCTTCCTTTGCAGATGACACCCGAACTGCATGACAGTGTCTTCCATTGCAGACACTGCAAGGGCTCCAGGCGGACATCAACCAAATCTTTCAGTGGGCTGCAGAAAACAATATGAAGTTCAACGATGAGAAATTTCAATTACTCAATATGGTAAACATGAGGAAATTAAATCTTCATCAGAGTACAAAAACAAATTCTGGCCACAAAATAGAGCGAAACACCAACGTCAAAGACCTAGGAGTGATTATGTCGGAGGATCTCACTCTCAAGGACCATAACATTGTATCAATCGCATCTGCTAGAAAAATGACAGGATGGATAATGAGAACCTTCAAAATAGGGAGGCCAAGCCCATGATGACACTCTTCAGGTCACTTGTTCTATCTAGGCTGGAATATTGCTGCACTCTAACAGCACCTTTCAAGGCAGGTGAAATTGCCGACCTAGAAAATGTACAGAGACTTCACGGCGCGCATAACGGAGATAAACACCTCAATTACTGGGAGCGCTTGAGGTTTCTAAACCTGTATTCCCTGGAACGCAGGAGGGAGATACATGATTATATACACCTGGAAAATCCTAGAGGGACTAGTACCAAACTTGCACACGAAAATCACTCACTACGAAAGCAAAAGACTTGGCAGACGATGCACCATCCCCCAATGAAAAGCAGGGGGTTCACTAGCACGTTAAGAGACCATACAATAAGTGTCAGGGGCCCGAGACTGTTCAACTGCCTCCCAGCACACATAAGGGGGATTACCAACAGACCCCTGGCAGTCTTCAAGCTGGCACTGGACAAGCACCTAAAGACAGTTCCTGATCAGCCGGGCTGTGGCTCGTACGTTGGTTTGCGTGCAGCCAGCAGCAACAGCCTGGTTGATCAGGCGCTGATCCACCAGGAGGCCTGGTCACAGACCGGGCCGCGGGGGCGTTGACCCCCGAAACTCTCTCCAGGTAAACTCCAGGTATGGTAGAGCAATTAATTCGTACATGAGTAAAAGGATATAAAAGCTATATTTGTCCAACCTATTTTTATGTTACCCAAGTAATAGCTTTTATATCCTTTTACTCATGTACGAATTAATTGCTCTACCATATTGTATTACTTTTGTCACTACCACTACTACTACTACTACTACCACTAGTGAACATCGAAATGGTACCTCACTAGTATTACACCTCACTCTGAGCCTTTATATACCCTCTGTGTCCATGTATTGTTTGTAATGGCTTGATAAAGCTCCTGGAGAGCGAAACGTTGCCACAATAAATGTCACATTAGTTGCACTTGTGTCCTTTTACTTTACATACTACTACTACTGTTACTACTGAAACAACTGCTACAGAAATACCTACAACTATTGCTGAAATGGTTACGACTAATATTGCATTGACTTCGACTACTACCCCAGTGACTTCGACTATTACCCCAGTGACTTCAACTACTACCCCAGTGACTTCGACTACTACCCCCAGTGACTTCGACTACATCCCCCGTGACTTCGACTACTACCCCCAGTGACTTCGACTACTACCCCAGTGACTTCGACTACTACCCCAGTGACTTCGACTACTACCCCAGTGACTTCGACTACTACCCCAGTGACTTCGACTACTGCCCCAGTGACTTCGACTACTACCCCAGTGACTTCGACTACATCCCCCGTGACTTCGACTACTACCCCAGTGACTTCGACTACTACCCCCAGTGACTTCGACAACTACCCCAGTGACTTCGACTACTGCCCCAGTGACTTCGACTACTACCCCAGTGACTTCGACTACATCCCCCGTGACTTCGACTACTACCCCAGTGACTTCGACTACTACCCCAGTGACTTCGACTACACTTACAATAACGACTTTGACTACCAGTTGCCACCAATGGCTACGACTACTTAAACTAGTACGACCATGAAAACAACGTCAGCTACGATACCGAACACGACAACTCCGTTACTGGACAGCTACAATACCGACAACGACTACTCCCTCCACGACGATTCTAATGATAACTTCAACGACGGAGTAGGACCCGATGGCTACGAGGAAGAAGGCGGAGGCGCAGCAACTGCAGATTGAAATAAGCAATGATGATGACTGGACTAGTGTCTGCAAGAGACCAGGACTACTGGGTGAGTACCCGTTGGTGCAGAGTACTGGTGGCCCAGAGTACCTGTGGTCCAAAGTACCTGTGGTTCAGAGTACCTGTGGTCCAGAGTACCTAGGTGGTGGAAAAGTGTATTGTCTGTTAGGGAGGTGATGGAGAACCTGTGTTGTGTTACATGTGTGATGAAAAGGCTATGTAATGTTACATCTGTGATGGAGAGGTTGTGTTACAACGGCGATGGAGAGGTTGTGTACGTAGTGTTACAACTGTGATGGAGAGGTGTTGCGTTACATCTGTGATGAAGAGGTTGTATAATGTTACAATGGTGATGGAGAGGTTGTGTTGCGTTACATCTGTGATGAAGAGGTTGTGTTGTGTTACAACGGTGATGGAAGGGCTATGTAGTGTTACAAAAGTGATGAATAACCAATGGAAACAAGTTACTTTGACTTTTTTGTTATACTGGATAACTTACACATATGTTACTGTGTATGATAATTTGTGTAACTGTATCTGTAAAAGTGATGCATGTGTACCTGTACCTACAACAGTGGTGGACGTGTACAGTGAGTGGTGTGGCCCCTGTTCCAGCATGACTGGTCATCTTCGACGCATCAAACTGGAACTGGGAGACGAATATCTCACTCTCGCTTTGGTCAGTATATTTCCCTCTCACAAATACAAATAATCATCCCAATAACAACATATAATGCACTAATAACGTACCTGAATTCTTTTTCACTTCATTCATGCATATTAACTTTAAAGTTACTGTATTCCTGTGCCTTTATTGGTTAGGCTATCCTATTCATGTGATCTCTCTTTTTAGCACACTAATGTGGGTTGTGTTTCACGTAGGCGAGAGCTGATGCTATCCAAGCACTAACTAACTTCAAGGGCAAGGCTGAACCTACTTGGCTTTTCCTCGGGGTGAGTTACATTCTATATTTTCTTATGCAACCCATGCTCATACTGTGAGTGGTAGTCAACCCATGCTCACGCTGTGAGTGGTCAACCCATGCTCATGTTGTGAGTGGTCAACTCATGCTCGTGTTGTGAGTGGTCAACTCATACTCATGTTGTGAGTGGTCAACTCATGCTCATGTTGTGAGTGGTCAACCCATGCTCATGTTGTGTGGTCAACCCATGCTCATGTTGTGAGTGGTCAACTCATGCTCGTGTTGTGAGTGGTCAACTCATGCTCGTGTTGTGAGTGGTCAACTCATGCTCATGCTATGAGTGGTCAACCCATGCTCATGTTGTGAGTGGTCAACCCATGCTCATGTTGTGAGTGGTCAACCCATGCTCATGTTGTGAGTAGTCAACTCATGCTCACGCTGTGAGTGGTCAACCCATGCTCATGTGAGTGGTCAACCCATGCTCATGTTGTGAGTAGTCAACTCATGCTCACGCTGTGAGTGGTCAACCCATGCTCACGCTGTGAGTGGTCAACCCATGCTCATGCTGTGAGTAGTCAACTCATGCTCACGCTGTGAGTGGTCAACCCATGCTCATGTGAGTGGTCAACCCACGCTCATGTTGTGAGTAGTCAACTCATGCTCACGCTGTGAGTGGTCAACCCATGCTAATGTTGTGAGTGGTCAACCCATGTTCATGCTGTGAGTGGTCAACCGATGCTAATGTTGTGAGTGGTCAACCCATGCTAATGTGAGTGGTCAACCCATGCTCATGTTGTGAGTGGTCAACCCATGCTCATGTTGTGAGTGGTCAACCCATGTTCATGCTGTGAGTGGTCAACCGATGCTAATGTTGTGAGTGGTCAACCCATGCTAATGTTGTGAGTGGTCAACCCATGCTCATGTTGTGAGTGGTCAACCCATGCTCATGTTGTGAGTGGTCAACCCATGCTAATGTTGTGAGTGGTCAACCCATGTTCATGCTGTGAGTGGTCAACCGATGCTAATGTTGTGAGTGGTCAACCCATGCTAATGTTGTGAGTGGTCAACCCATGCTCATGTTGTGAGTGGTCAACCAATGCTAATGTTGTGAGTGGTCAACCCATGCTCATGTTGTGAGTGGTCAACCCATGCTAATGTGAGTGGTCAACCCATGCTAATGTGAGTGGTCAACCCATGTTCATGCTGTGAGTGGTCAACCGATGCTAATGTTGTGAGTGGTCAATCCATGTTCATGCTGTGAGTGGTCAACCCATGCTCATGTTGTGAGTGATCAACCCATGCTAATGGTGTGAGTGGTCAACCCATGTTCATGCTGTGAGTGGTCAACCCATGCTAGTGTTGTGAGTGGTCAACCCATGCTAGTGTTGTGAGTGGTCAACCCATGCTAGTGTTATGAGTGGTCAACCCATGCTAGTGTTGTGAGTGGTCAACCCATGCTCATGCTGTGAGTGGTCAACCCATGCTAGTGTTGTGAGTGGTCAACCCATGCTAGTGTTGTGAGTGGTGAACCCATGTTCATGCTGTGAGTGGTCAACCCATGCTAGTGTTGTGAGTGGTCAACCCATGCTAGTGTTGTGAGTGGTCAACCCATGCTCATGTTGTGAGTGGTCAACCCATGATAATGTGAGTGGTCAACCCATGATAATGTTGTGAGTGGTCAACCCATGCTAGTGTTGTGAGTGGTCAACTCATGCTAGTGTTGTGAGTGGTCAACCCATGCTAGTGTTGTGAGTGGTCAACCCATGCTCATGCTGTGAGTGGTAGTTAGGTATCCCTGAAAGATTACCTTTAAGTGGTTTCCTAATTTTTTCTTCAAATTTCTTTCAATTATACTAAAGCGATTTTGGGTAATCGAGGGACTGTCCTCTGATGCCGTAATGGTCTAATTTTAGATGCAAGAGACTGGTCCAGTGTATCAAATGCTTTCCGTAGGTCTATGAAGAGCCCCAGAGGATATTAATTTTTTTTTCGAGGGCTGTATATAGTAATTCGAGCATTTGTATAATACCATCATTCGTACTTTTTTCGGTCTAAACGCAAACTGGCAGGCGTTAAGTATGTTATGGGATATAAGGTAGGATTAAAGTAATTTGTGTATTGTTTGATATAGGTCTATAGTTGTTCAGTTCAGTTGGATCCACTACTTTGAGTATCGGGGTAACACTTGCTGTCTTGAGTATGGATGGGAAGGTTGAGGACCCCCAACGGAAATAAAAAAAGGACCCCAATGGAAATAAATAAAGGACTCCAATGAAAATAAATCACTGACGTTTTTGGGTTATCCCAGGTTCTTTACACATATGCAGTGTGACTTTGTCAATGGTCCAAGTCGGTCCGAAACGTCGTCGTAAGCTTCTCTCTTTTATGTGCGGGTTATTTGTGTATATGCTGCAATGTATGATAATCTATGTAACTGTATTTGTGTTAACCTAAATAAACTTACTTAACAGATTTGTTAAACAGTGTTGCAGTAATGGGTGACAGTACATGAGATGCTTTTTTATACATAAATGGTGGCAAGTTAATGAGGTCTCCTGCCTGGTTTTTAATGATTTAATGATGAGTGAGACTTCAGTAGAATTTGTTGGCTCGAAATATAGAGTATTTGGGTAGTATGAAAATTTCTTACATAAGTTACCAGTGGAAATTTTTTTTACAAAATTTTCCTAAATGTATTGCTGGGAAGGATTGGAGTCTTCTATTTTTCCGTCTTGTTGCCGAATTGTAAGGGTTTTCCATACTATTTATCCCAATTCTTCAGCAGGAACGTGTCAGCAATTTCTGAACTGCGGACTGCGGTCGATATACACCAAATAACCTTCAAGAACGCCTGACTACTTTGCACAACTCAGACCAGCGTCCACACATTAAATTCATTATGGTGTCTCCCTTCAGCGTCACTCAGCAGCTGCTTCACCTCCCCCCACCCACTCGAAATTTCTCGAAAGAGTCCAAAGAGCATCACATTTTAATACGCAATTATTATATTCATTTATATGTTCTACATATAGGAAAATTCTGTAAAAAATTTTCACAGGTGAGGTAGTCTTTCAGCTGAGTATTTAAGCTTGGAATTTTGCTAACTAGCTTTGATCCTATAGTAGAAGGCTGGATGTGAGATTCATCTGGTTTAGTTAGGTTTATCTCTGTTTCTAGACAATTTTCTAGAGTCCAAAATTTCAGAGAGGGTTTTCTAGGTCTTTTTCATATCACCTTTTATTTTGGTAACCCTATTAGCATAATACATTTGTTTCGATTTCCGTATAAGATTAGTGAGTATTGACGTGTATCGTTTAATTCGTTCTTCAGTTATCAGGCCTAATATGAACTGTTTATCATATTGGTGTTTATTATCAATGGATTTGAGAATATTATTAGTTAGCCACGGGCTATTTAGTCTCTTTACTGTGATCTGCTTCGTTTTGATCGGACAATGCGTGTTACAGAGGTTTTGGTTTTTATGTAAAAAGTTTTGACACCTTCATCGACTTACGAGTGTCTGCTAGCTCTCTCTGTCAATGTCATCTAGTGCTAATATTAAATTATTACTAATGACTCGTCATGTAGGCGAAAAGAGATCTTACTCGTGTTTTGAAGCAATTTACATAAGTTGGTTATGAGAAAAGTGGGGTAGTGGTCTGTAGTGTCTGTTATTATACCTACTTGTAGTGGAGATATAGTATTCTTCCAGATATAGTCAAGTAATGAGGCACTTGTCTCAGATTCTAGTTGGCCTAGTTATAGAAGGTAGAAGCAAGAAATTGTTCATAGTGTTTGTGAAATCAGTTACTGGAGGGTCATCTGCTTGGATGAGGCTTATGTCGAGGTCTCCTGTATCAGGTGGTGTTTATTCAACTCTGAGTCAGTTATCATGTTTCTAAGGTTATCACTGGAAGTGTAAGTATTTGTATGTGGTAATCTGTAGACAGTTTATCTGTATGATAACTATCAAATTATTAGAGTCTACCACTTCTGAATGGCTTCAGTATGTAATATCTGATGCATCTTAAGACCAAGATGCTACGCGTTGAGTTTAGTTTGTGTGTGGGCAAACACAATTGCAAGTAAAAAATAAAAAAAATATTGAAAAAAAAACGCATTTTTATAGTGCTTTTAAATTTGCTAATTGAACCCATAAATACTGCACTGATTGATGCCAGAGCCGTCCATCTGTTAGCTACAGTTTTTCTCATACCATTAAGGTTGTCGTCTATAACTTTACAACGCCTTTTCTAATCAGCTTCAAATTTCAAACTCTGGTCAACTATTACTGGGTAAAAGTTCATAGATCAGTTGACGTATGCAGGCGATCTCTGTTCAGTTTTACAGACCATGTCCGAAATTGATTCCCACGAAATTACTTTAAAGATCTTTTGATCGGCTTCACAATTTTAAGTATCGCAAAGTAATTGACTTATATTGGTATTGGAGGATACGTCCAATTCCCTGGATCAAGAGTCACCATTTTCATGGAGCAGTTTACCTGAAAACTCTAAGGAATTATGAAATTTATTATTTTAGATTCTTCTAGTCTATTGTTCCACCACTGTGATAAAACTTTCTAGGATATGTGACAAATCAAGAGTTATATTCCAGCAGAGATCAAATTCAACATGAAGAAGATTCTGTATATTTCGACCTCAATCTGAGAACTTCTTCAGCGGATAAGAAACAATGAGTAAAATTTGTTGCTGGGTTTTAGTTTTTATTAGTCACACCATAAGTATGGTGTGACTATCACTCTATCCTGTGGGTGATAGTCGCCTGGTGGTTAACGCTCTCGCTTCACACGGCGAGGGCCTGGGTTCGATTCCCAGCCAGAGTAGAATTATTATTATTATAATCAAAAAGAAGCGCTAAGCCAAGCCAGAGTAGAAACATTGGGCGTGTTTCTTTCCACCTGTTGTCTATGTTCCCCATCAGTAAAATGGGTACCTGGGTGTTAGTCGACTGGTGTGGGTCGCATCCTGGGACACTGACCTAATTTGCTTTCTATGTAGTAGTATGTCATTGTTGTCAGCTAGGACTGTATACCATGTACATGTACTTGTAGTAAATAAAGATTATTATTATTATTATCCTGTGGGTGATAGTCACACCATACCCATCTTGTGGGTGATAGTCACACCATATCCATCTTGTGGGTGATAGTCACACCATACCCATCTTGTGGGTGATAGTCACACCATACCCATCTTGTGGGTGGTAGTCACACCATACCCATCTTGGTGATAGTCACACCATACCCATCTTGTGGGTGATAGTCACACCATACCCATCTTGGTGGTAGTCACACCATACCCATCTTGTTGGTGATAGTCACACCATACCTATCTTGTGAGTGACAGTCACACCATACCTATCTTGAGAGTGATAGTCATACCATATCCATTTTGTGGGTGGCATCATAGATTACAAAGGCACAATGGGTCTAGGAACTGCGCCCCAACATTTTTTCTAGCTAATCAAGTTACAACAAAAATGTTTTGCAATATACAGCTCTCATCTGCTTGACGTGCTTTTTTTGCAGTCTGGCAAGCCCATGAGCGTGATCCACGGTGCTGACGGACCTCAGCTGCTGAGCACCATCAGGAGACTGCTAAAGGTGGAGGTGGCTGCCTTGAAGGGTCGTGGTGACAGGCAGGTGGTGAGCCTAATTCCTTCTGTCTTATTATTAGTCATGTGGAAGGGTTAAACAGCGCTTGGGGAATGGAAGGCAGTTAGGTTTGATTCAAGGGAAGTTAGTAGTTTAATATCTTTATTATGCACCCCATACCCATCCTGTGGGCGGTAGTCAAAAGATTAGAGGTACATAATGGGTCCAGGGACTGGGCCTCAAAGTTTTGATAGCTGAGCAAGTTACAGAGGTAATAAACTCACAATTTGCAAAGGCAATGAACTCCAGGTAGGTCTGGTCACAATCATGACAAGTTACAAAGGTATTTACAGATTACAGAGGTACGTAATGGGTCCAGGGACTGGGCCCCCAAAGTTTTGATAGCTGAACTAGGTACAAAGGTAATGAACTCACAAGTTACAAAGGTAATGAATCCTGTAAGAATGGTTACTTACGTTTATACATGGCTACAATCATGAACAAATTATAGAGTAATGAGCAATTCACACTTCCACACCCGGTCACAACTGTAATGAGTTATTGGTGCAAATATTGATTGTTGAGTCACACACACACACACTCACACACACACACACACACACACACACACACACACACACACACACACACACACACACACACACACCAGCACGGTTTCAGGGAAGGAAAATCCTGTGTCACAAACCTACTAGAGTTTTATGACAAGGTGACAGAAGTAAGACAAGAGAGAGAGGGGTGGATCGACTGCATTTTTTTGGACTGCAAGGCCTTCGACACAGTTCCTCACAAGAGGTTACTGCAAAACCTAGAGGATCAGGCACACATAACAGGAAAGGCACTGCAATGGATCATAGAATACCTGACAGGGAGGCAACAACGAGTCATGGTACATGACGAGGTGTCAGAGTGGGCGCTTGTGACAAGCGGGGTTCCACAGGGGTCAGTCCTAGGACCTGTGCTGTTCTTGGTATATGTGAACGACATAACAGAAGGGATAGACTCAGAAGTGTCCTTGTTTGCAGATGATGTGAAGTTAATGAGAAGAATCAAATCGGATGAGGATCAGGCAGGACTACAAAGAGACCTGGACAGGCTACAAGCCTGGTCCAGCAACTGGCTCCTTGAGTTTAACCCTGCCAAATGCAGTCATGAAAATTGGGGAAGGGCAAAGAAGACCGCAGATACAATATAGTTTAGATGGCCAAAGACTGCAAACCTCACTCAAGGAAAAAGATCTGGGGGTGAGTATAACACCGAGCATATCTCCTGAGGCGCACATCAATCAGATAACTGCTGCAGCATACGGGCGCCTGGCAAACCTACAGATAGCGCTCCGATACCTCAGTAAGGATTCGTTCAAAACTCTGTATACCATTTACGTCAGGCCCATACTGGAGTATGCAGCACCAGTTTGGAATCCACACCTAGTCAAGCACGTCAAGAAATTAGAGAAAGTGCAAAGGTTTGCAACAAGACTAGTCCCAGAGCTACGGGGATTGTCCTACGAAGAAAGGTTGAGGGAAATCGGCCTGACGACACTGGAGGACAGAAGGGTCAGGGGAGACATGATAACGACATATAAAATACTGCACTGAAAAGACAAGGTGGACAAAGACGGGATGTTCCAGAGAAGGGACACAGACACAAGAGGTCACAATTGGAAGTTAAAGACTCAGATGAATCAAAAGGATGTTAGGAAGTATTTCTTCAGTCATAGAGTAGTCAGGCCGTGGAATAGCCTAGAAAGTGACGTAGTGGAGGCGGGAACCATACATAGTTTTAAGATGAGGTATGATAAAGCTCATGGGGCAGGGAGAGAGGGCCTAGTAGCAATCTGCGAAGAGGTGGGGCCAGGAGCTATGACTCGACCCCTGCAACCACAAATAAGTGAGTACACACACACACACACGCACGCACGCACGCATGCACACACACACACACACACACACCACACACACACATGAGGGATGGGCCAGGAGCTGTGACTCGACCCCTGCAACCACAAATAGGTGAGTACACACACACACAGAGCTCAGGGGAATGTCGTACGAGGAAAAGTTGAGGGAAATCGGACTGACGACACTGGAGGACAGAAGGGTCAGGGGAGACATGATAACAACATACAAGATACTGCAGGGAATAGACAGGGTGGACAGAGATAGGATGTTCCAGAGAGGGGACACAGAAACAAGGGGTCACAACTGGAAGCTGAAGACTCAGACGAGTCACAGGGACGTTAGAAAGTATTTCTTCAGTCATAGAGTCGTCAGGAAGTGGAATAGCCTAGCAAGTGAAGTAGTGGAGGCAGGAACCATACATAGTTTTAAGAAGAGGTATGACAAAGCTCAGGAAGCAGAGAGGGAGAGGACCTAGTAGCGATCAGTGAAGAGGCGGGGCCAGGAGCTGAGTTTCGACCCCTGCAACCACAATTAGGTGAGTACACACACACACGCACGCACGCACGCACACACACACACACACACACACACACACACACACACACACACACACACACACACACACAAACGTGCGCGCGCGGTAATGTATTATTTACAGCCAGCAAAGTCAGGGTATTTCTCCAAAATGATCTGTAATATACCACTGTGATCAGATCAAAAGCCCTCATAATATAGGAGCCTCACAATTCTTTGTTGACCCTCATGCTTTGCTATCATACATTTTGAATCAAATTATTGAGGCCTCTTAAACCTGACATATTTTAGGACCTCAGAGATTCTATGCAAGCATTGGTTTGGAACGCAGCTGTAGATGAGTGGAATGAATTGCCGTTTAGCATCAATGTAGCAAGTGCAGTATTTTGATAGATTTTCAAAATACACTATGGTAAACCATACCATGGGTGGGGATTGAACTAGTGGCGAGTCATAAAACTCCAGGCCAGCGCGTAAGCCACTGGGCCAGTGGGGCCTGTGCTAACCTCTATATGGTGTATAAATATACCTAGTTGGATGAATTATAATTATTGTAGCCAGCTGGCCTAGAGTTTTACGACTTACTTGCCACGAGTTCATACCCTAACCGTGGTATGGTTTGTTTGCAATCGTGTTATTACGATTCCTTGAGTCACTACTGTAATTTGGGGCGAGTAAATTTATGAGAGTAACAGGCTGCAGAGTAAGGCACATGTATCTTTGCTAAGTGAAACATTTCGCCTACACAGTAGACTTCTTCAGTCAAATACAGAGGCAACAAACGTAGTTGCGAAGTAGCATGTAATCAGGTCATCAACCTTGAACCTGGAAAAGTGTTCAGCTCCACAGTCTGGAACAGACTGATTATATCTTTACCTTGCTACACGCTTGTTGCCTCTGCATTTAACGGATAGAAGCCCTCTATGTAGGAGAAATGTTTCAATCGACAATAAACATACCCAGCTCTCTTATCTCTAATTGCTGCACGTTTCATACTCTTCATCTCGTCGATGTTATAAACCATTTTCAATATACGAGTAAAAGGCTGCCTCCTCCAGGTGTTGCTGGACTCCCTGGTGAAGCCGGAGGAAGTTCTTGAACCTGATGAGGACCTTGATGATGTGGAGGGTGAACTACACAATTTGGGTGAGGTATTGTGGCAAAGATGTGTATGTGAGGTGGTGTGGCAAAGATGTGTATGTGAGGTGGTGTGGCAAAGATGTGTATGTGAGGTGGTGTGGCAAAGATGTGTATGTGAGGTGGTGTGGCAAAGATGTGCATGTGAGGTGTTGTGGCAAAGATGTGTATGTGAGGTGGTGTGGCAAAGATGTGTATATGAGGTGGTGAGGCAAAGATGTGTATATGAGGTGGTGTGGCAAAGATGTGCATGTGAGGTGTTGTAGCAAAGATGTGTATGTGAGGTGGTGTGGCAAAGATGTGCATGTGGTGTTGTGGCAAAGATGTGTATGAAAGGCGGTGTGGCAAAGATGTGTATGTGAGGTGGTATAGCAAAGATGTGCATGTGAGGTGAGGTGGGAAAGATGTGTATGTGAGGTGGTGTGGCAAAGATGTGCATGTGGTGTGGCAAAGATGTGCATGTGGTGTGGCAAAGATGTGTGTGTGTGGTGGTGTGGCAAAGATGTGCGATGGAAATATAAACACATATGCAGTATAATGTGATCCTTTATTGACAACGTTTTGCCCACACAGTGGGCTTTTTCAAATCACAAACAGATCTACCTGGGGTGGAAGGTATGCAAGGATTTATAGTCAGGTTGAGAATGGTGGGTCAGGTGGAGAATGCTGCATGTGATGATCTACCAAGTGGGGTTATAGAGTCTAAAATCTAGGGTAGCTTGGAAGAGATTTTAGACTCTATAACCCCACGCGGTAGATCATCAGATGCAGCATTCTCCACCTGACCCAACATTCTGAACCTGACTATAAATACTCATGTACCTTCCACCCTAGGTAGATCTGCTTGTGACTTGAAAAAGCCCACTGTATGGATGAAACGTTGTCAGTAAAGGATCACATTATACTGCATATGTGTTTATATTTCCATTGTGTCGGTATTTTATACCATTTATTTCCACTGCAAAGATGTGCACGTAGTGTGATGCAGATGTACATATATACTATCAGGCAGTTGGCAAAGATGTATATAAGAAAGCAGTAGTGCAGCATACATGTTATGTGAATGGTGGTGGTGTGGCACATGAGCTCCGAAGTGTAGTACACATGCTCAAGAAATAGTGTGGCACAGATGAGTGGGTTAATCAGCGCTCAGTGAGAGAGGAGGAGCACAGAGACTAGAGGTAACGAAATAAGGTGGTAAATACAAAAGGCAATAAATCAGTCTTGTTAAAAAATACTGTGAGAATTTTACATTAAAGGCAGGACTTTCATAGGGAAGAGGAAAGTAATCAGGTCATGGGATAGGAGGGCATAAAAATGTAGGTGGCTGTCTCTCTGATGAACGGTACAATTGATGAAAAAATATTGGGACTGGCAGCACAACCTTATAATTCCTAGTGTGCTGTTTACTCCTCCATAAGGTGATCGTGTGTTTAGCATGACTAATATGCAGTTATCAGAATACTATTTCCTACAAATTGAAAACCATTTTCAAAATTATAGTACTATTTTCCACAAATTAAAAACTGCAAGTTTTTCTCTAGCTCAAATCACCATTGTTGTCAATGATTCAACAAGTGCTGAGTTAATCGGTACTGTATAAGCAGTTTTCCAGTGTTCTGGTATTGTAGTTTTTTATTTTCAGTAATACATTACGGATCTTTATTAGTGACTTGTTTAATACCTCAACATCCTCAGTCAGGTTAAGCATAATTGGAGTTGGCCAGTAATTGTGTGGACCTGTGCACATGTGTGTGGTATATTACAAGTATTTTAATCATCAGTGATGTAACTAATACGTACCTTACTAACCCTCCATAATAGAATTCCAACTCCCCATAAATGCTTCTTCCTTCTGATGTGACTCTTTCCATCCCAACTATGAGGCCATCTTCACATTATGCCTCCTCACTTTGTGCCAACACAACAAACTGAACTGTGCAACAATAAATGTCCGTGACATCAGACGACAGCGAGGAGAATTCTGAAGCTGAGGAGCCAGTATTACAGCAAGGTGTACTCTTCATCTTACCTCACATTATCTCCCAGGACAAGGCTGAGACTTTCCTCTCTAACGTAGTAGCTGCAGGTGAGGCGAAAATATTCCATCATAGCCTATAACTGGGGAAAGAATGCATTATTGGTCTGTCAAGGTTTCTCTAGCAAAGATTACATCCATGTGGTCAATGACATTGTTACTGGAGAAACTGAGTAATGCTTAACTTAATCCAGTTACGAGCGTCTTCCACAGCACAATGCACATGCATAATGATTTGCTGGGGAGAGCTAAACTCATTGGGGTCAAACAGCACCTGAGGAAATGGAGGCATTCAGGTTCGATCCGAGAAAGGGGAACACAGGTTTAATTCCTTAGATCAAGAGCCTCCCCTCCTCATTGGCATCAAAGATCCTCCCTTAGGGGAATACAATGTACAGTATACAGTTCACTGTTCTTTTTATTAGATCATGACACCCTCTTATAAGTTTGTTATTTTTAATTAATACGTATTGTATGTAATACAATACGTATTCACAATACTGCACCAAAACCACACGGGCTGTACAACTCATTATGTGAAAACACTAAAATCTGCAGGGCTTACACAGCATCAAGGTAATGAGAAGCAATCTGGTTGATTCAAGAGGATAGCTCCAATTTCTTGGATCAAAAAACCTTTACTAGAATAAGGCACTTCCCATCTAGGGGTCATACGGTGCAGTGCCGAGTCATCTTTAATTCATCAAAAAACTCAACTCAAACAGTAGTAGTATCAACCAGTATGGTTCAGCTGCAACACTTAATATCTCCACCTCACAGGTTTTGAAATTGCTGGGCACATACAAGAAGAACTCACCCGAGAGGAGCTCCATGACTTCCTCTTTCCCCCAGAACCTGAGGAGGAGGAGCAGGAGAAAGAGGAGGGGGAAGATGATGGGGTCAATGCAAATGAAAGTGGTGAAGAGGAAGGTGGCGAGGATGGGAAAACTGATAAAGACTCCGCTGTAGATGACCCCAGCACTACCAAGGTGACTTGTGTCTGTCTTGTAATACGTCCTGTAGAGCAGGTTAGCCATAACAATTTTGATAGAAATTTGCCTCTATTGGTTATTGTCAAAACTAGCTTAATTATCATCTTTATACATGCAAACAGTAAAAACTTTATAGGTACAGCATTCAGAGAAGTATGGTACAATATTGAATTTATGTTGAAAAAGTAGTACTGCATTAGAAGAAAAGTATTGGACTGAAAATTTATTTTTAGTCTATGGTTTCTTTAAATTTTAATTTCTGCAGGTGAGGCTTGACAAAAAGTTGAATGGCAAATGTGGTTGATAGAGAATTTTTTGCCATGACTAACAATAATGGACAATTTTGTAATTGTAATAAAGTTGGTAGAATTACCGACAATATGTAAAGTAAAAGGACACAAGTGCAACTAGTGTGACATTTTATTGTGGCAACGTTTCACTCTCCAGGAGCTTTATCAAGCCATTACAAACAATACATGGACACAGAGGGTATATAAAGGCTCAGAGTGAGGTGCAATACTAGTGAGGTACCATATAGATGTTCACTAGTATTAGTAGTATTAGTATTATTAGTATTAGTATAAGAGAAGAAGAAGAAGAAGAAGCAAAGCAGAAGAAGAAGCAAAGAAGAAGAAGAAGAAGAAGCAGCAAAGAAGAAGAAGAAGAAGAAGAAGCAAAGAAGAAGAAGAAGAAGAAGAAGCAAAGAAGAAGAAGAAGAAGAAGAAGAAGAAGAAGAAGCAGCAGTCAGCAGCAGCAGCAAGCAGCAGCAGCAGCAAGCAGCAGCAGCAGCAGCAGCAGCAGCAGGCAGCAGCAGCAGCAGCAGCAGGCAGCAGCAAACAGCAGCAGCAGCAGCAGCAGCTGCAGCAGCAGCAGCAGCAGCAGCAGCAGCAGCAGCAGCAGCAGCAGCTGCAGCAGCAGCAGCAGCAGCAGCAGCAGCAGCAGCAGCAGCAGCAGCAGCAGCAGCAGCAGCAGCAGCAGCAGCAGCAGCAGCAGCTGCAGCAGCAGCAGCAGCAGCAGGCAGCAGCAGCAGCAGCAGCAGCAGCAGCAGCAGCAGCAGCAGCAGCAGCAGCAGCAGCAGCAGCAGCAGCAGCAGCAGCAGCAGCAGCAGCAGCAGCAGCAGGCAGCAGCAGCAGCAGCAGCAGCAGCAGCAGCAGCAGCAGCAGCAGCTGCAGCAGCAGCCAGCAGCAGCAGCAGAGCAGCAGCAGCAGCAAACAGCAGGCAGCAGCAGCAGCGCAGCAGCAGCAGCAGCAGCAGCAGCAGCAGCAGCAGCAGGCAGCAGACAGCAGCAGAGCAGCACAGCAGCAGCAGCAGCAGCAGCAGCAGCAGCAGCAGCAGCAGCGCAGCAGCAGCAGCAGCCAAGCAGCAGCCAGCAGCAGCAGCAGCGACAGCAGCAGCAGCAGCAGCATGCAGCCAGCAGCAGCAGCAGCCAGCAGCAGCTAGCAGCAGCAGCGCAGCAGGCAGCAGCAGCAGCAGCAGCAGCAGCACAAGCAGCAGCAGCAGCAGCAAGCGCAGCCAGCAGCAGCAACAAGCAGCTAGACAGCAGCGCACAGCAGCAGCAAGCAGCAGCAGCAGCAGCACAGCTACAAGCAGCAAAGCAGCAGAGCAATTAATTCGTACATGAGTAAAGGATATAAAAGCTATTACTTGGGTAACATAAAAAAATTTTATGTTACCCAAGTAATAGCTTTTATATCCTTTTACTCATGTACGAATTAATTATTATTATAATCAAAAAGAAGCGCTAAGCCACAAGGGCTATACAGCGTACAAATTAATTGCCCTACCATATTGTATTACTACTACTACTTTTGTCACTACTACTACCACTAGTGAACATCTATATGGTACCTCACTAGTATTGCACCTCACTCTGAGCCTTTATATACCCTCTGTGTCCATGTATTGTTTGTAATGGCTTGATAAAGCTCCTGGAGAGCGAAACGTTGCCACAATAAAATGTCACACTAGTTGCACTTGTGTCCTTTTACTTTACAAATTTTGTAATTAATGGACTTTGTCCACCGTTTCCGAATTGACTGTCCCGACAAATTTTGTTCCGTATTTCCAAAGTTCGTGGTATGGAGGGTTTATTGTATGTTCTAAATAATTTCATTTAAAAGTTAACAGCAGGCAGTATAAAAAGTTAACAGCAGACAGTATAAAAAAAATTGGTTTTGGCCAGGAATTCTCTACTTTTCTAAGCCCTTTATCACACAAGTACCGTATTGTACGATACGGCTGTCAAAGATCAATTTTGATTATGAGATTCCATCAGTTTCTACAGGTCCACATCCCTTTATCCAAAATTCTGAAATTTGAAAAGTTCCGAAAACCGATGTTTTTTCGTGGAGTGTGGAGCATCAGTCACCTCTGAAACAATACAGGCCCCAAGGGTTTCGGATAAAGGGACGTGCACCTGTACCACCGTATGTTTATAATATGCTTTCAGTCTCTATGGGTTATTCAGCACTGAAATTCCCAAAACAGATTAGCAAGACATTCAGAATTGTATCACTCTTGTTTTAGGCTACTGCTCTATTACAACCAAATGTGCCTAGTTCCTCGCCCACCCAGGTCCTTTACTTTTTCTAGATGATGCAATTGGAGGAAGAAGACGAGAGTCAGCAGCCTTCAGATGAAGAAGGTACGGGAGAAGAGACAGGTGAGGGAAGCAGTGACAGGGACACCCAGGATGACCTGCAGCACTGGGAGGAAGAACTCAGTCATGGCCCACTCTATATGCTTCTCCTCAAGTAGGTTTGGAGATCAACACACTTTCATTCCATGCTTTGTCACTTTTAGTACCTGGCTCGTACAACTAGCTTAGCCTCACTGGTTATGGCAGATATTAAAGGATGGATACAGTATTTTCTGGTGTATGAGGTGCACTTTTTTCTCATGGAAAGTCCAATAAAATCACCCTACACCTCATGTGCTCATGATTAAGATCAACGGTAGGCTTTGGGTTATGCTTTAGCAGTTGTTTACTAATGTTACGTTACAAATGATTGGAAACATCGTCTTCTATGTGGCACGTGATCAGGAACCATATATTCCGGAAAATATAGTAATTTTTATTTATTTTATTAACACATCGGCCGATTCTCATGAAGGCAGGGTGGCCCGAAAAAGAAAAACTTTCATCATACACTCCATTGCTGTCTTGCCAGAGGGGTGCTTTACACTAATGCTATAAAACTGCAAGATTAACACCCCTCCTTCAGAGTGTAGACACTTTACTTCCCATCTCCAGGAATCAAGTCCGGCCTGCCGGTTTCCCTGAATCCCTTCATAAATGTTACTTTGCTCACACTCCAACAGCACGTCAAGTATTAAAAACCATTTGTCTCCTATCAAATATGCTCATGTACGCTTGCTGGAATTCCAAGCCTCTCACACAAGAAACCTCCTTTACCCCCCTCCCTCCAACCCTTCCTAGGCTGACCCCTACCCCACCTTCCCTCCACTACAGATTTATACACTCTCAAAGTCATTCTGTTTTGTTCCATTCTTTCTACATGTCCGAACCACCTCAATAAGCCCTCCTCAGCCCTCTGGATAATAGTTTTGGTAATCCGACACGTTCTCCTAATTTCCGAACTACGAATTTTCTGCATTATATTCACACCACACATTGCCCTCAGACATGACATCTCCACTGCCTCCAGCCCTCTCCTCATTGCAACATTCATCACCCATGTTTCACACCCATACAAAAGTGTTGGTACAGCTATACTCTCATACATTTGCCTTTTTGCTTCCACGGACAAAGTTCTTTATCTCCACAGACTCCTAAGTGCACCACTCACCCTTTTCCCCTCATCAATTCTATGATTCACCTCATCCTTCATAGACCCATCTGCTGACACGTCCACTCCTAAATATCTGAATACATTCACTTCCTCCATACTCTCTCCCTCCAATCTGATATCCAGTCTTTTGTCACCTAATCTTTTTATCCTCATAACCTTACTCTTTCCTATATTCACTTTTAATTTTCTTCTTTTACATACCCTACCAAATTCATCCACCAACCTCTGCAACTTCTCTTCAGAATCTCCCAAAAACACCATGTCATCAGCAAAGAGCAACTGTGACAACTCCCACTTTGTGTTTGATTCTTTATCTTTTAACTCCACACCTCTTGCCAAGACCCTAGCATTCACTTCTCTTACAATATGGTAATTATGTAAACAAATTCTATATTGTATGAGAGTATAGTTGTACCAACACTCTTGTATGGGTGCGAAGCATGGGTGAGGAATGTTGCAACGAGGAGAAGGCTGGAGGCAGTGGAGATGTCATGTCTGAGGGCAATGTGTGGTGTGAATATAATGCAGAGAATTCGTAGTTTGGGAATTAGGAGAAGGTGTGGGATTACCAAAACTATTATCCAGAGGGCTGAGGAGGGGTTGTTGAGGTGGTTTGGACACGTAGAGAGAATGGAACAAAACATAATGACTTTGAGAGTGTATAAATCTGTAGTGGAGGGAAGGCGGGGTAGGGGTCGGCTTAGGAAGGGTTGGAGGGAGGGGGTAAAGGAGGTTTTTGTGTGCGAGGGGCTTGGACTTCCAGCAAGCGTGCATGAGCGTATTTGATACAAGTGAATGGAGACAAATGGTTCTTAATACTTGACGTGCTATTGGAGTGTGAGCAAAGTAACATTTATGAAGGGATTCAGGGAAACTGGCAGGCCGGACTTGAGTCCTGGAGATTGGAAGTACAGTGTCTACACTCTGAAGGAGGGGTGTTAATGTTGCAGTTTTATAACTGTAGTGTAAAGCACCCCTCTGGCAAGACAGTGATGGATTGAATGATGATGAAAGTTTTTCTTTTTCAGGCCACCCTGCCTTGGTGGGAATCGGCCGATTTGTTAACCCTTTGAGGGTCGACAGGCCCTCTCCGAAACTCGTTCTCAGGGTCGGCCAAATTTAAAAAAAAAAAATTATTTTCTCTTATGAAAAGATAGAGAATCTTTTCCCGATCATAACGACACCAAAAGTTTGAAATTTGATAGAAAACTTACGGAATTATGCTCTCGCAAAGTTAGCGGTCTCGGCGATGTTTACGGATCGGCGATTTTGCCCACTTTGAGCCCCATTTTCGGCCAATTTCACTGTACTAGTCGACAAAAAACATGAATATTTCGCTAGAACTCCATTTTTTCTATCGAATGGGTGCAAGAAACCACCATTTATAAATTCAACTATCCAGTACAGTGGTCAGATATTTAGCAATTTTGCCAATTTCACACAAATTTCAAAAGATGCCAATTTCGGAATAGGGTCCAGAATAAACAAGAAAGACATTCCTGGCACTAAATGACATTTCCTCTAGTCATTAGTCACGTCTCAAGGCCCCTCTTATATTCTTTTGCTTTCCACTTTGAATTTTTATTCTCACAAAAAATATAAGATTTACTGTTATGCAGACTATTGCTTAGTGTAAAAAATGGTTATAAATATTATTGGTGCACTGTGAAAGAATATTAGACTCACCAGTTGACGTGTATTGCACGCTTGGCACGATTTGTTTCTTTTGAAGTTTGGTAAAAATCGAACATTTCTGTACTTTGAGCTCAATTTCAAGGCACCTTTCATTGTAAAACCAGTCAAAATCATCTCAATTTCAGTAATATTGTCTTCCATTCTATAAAATGAGACCAAGAAAACTAGAATACACAATAAATACTATACGAAAATACACTGCAAAGTCGCTGATTTATTAAAAAAAAATGGAAAAAGTTTTTTTTTTCTCATTATGCACCGTGTGCTGCAGGATTTTTTTTAGACTGTGCACACTGACCACATAGACCCATTCTTTCATATGAAGGCCTACCAGCTTTCTCCCACTAGATTTGAGGTCGCTAGAATTTATGAGTACTAGTACGTCAAAAACCCCTACGCGTAAGACGTACTAGTACGACGAAAACCCTCAAAGGGTTAATAAAAAAAAAATAAAAAATTAAGTATATTAATTCCGACAAATGAGGAACTGCATAGCAATACAGTACACTGTTAATTGAACCACAGTTACAACCTTAGTGTAAAACACAATATGAAGGGTATTTTTTATACACAAAATTTGCCAAATGATACAAGCAAATAATGCAGTTCAAAACATCAAGACATTCTAAGCAAGGACTTGTGTTGCACACTTGTATATATATGATTAGCAAGAAGCACCTAATTTTAAAGGTTACAAGATAGATGAGAACTGCTGGTATTGCAGGGTGGAGGAGGGTTGTGTGGTGACCACCTGGTACCAAGTGTTGGGACCTCAGGACCTGGAAACAGCTTGCCGTGACCAGCCAGAGTCGTGAGTGTTATTCCCATTTATACTTTGTCTTCCTGGATAATTTATTATTTCATTTATACATTGAGGTGTACTTGGTTGACCATTCATTTACGCTCCATCTTATTTCTTCATAACTGAAATCCCAGATGAGATTTTTCCTTTTTATGGTTATTTTAATGAATACTATAGATCCTTTATACAAGCTGTGATTTACCTTATCAAACTCCTCTATTTCCTGTGTGTTGTTAAATGTTGGGATATGCATTTGTCCTGTACTGATGTGCAAAATGAATATAAATGTGGTCACTTGAATGTTCACTTAAATACTATAGGTTAGTTGCACAGTTTGGGGAGGAGGATCATGTAGTGCCTGCCTGGCTTCCTCGTGGACGTTCCCTCCAGGAGCGGCTGGCAGCCAGGTTCTTCCCTCCACCTCCAGATGCTTCTGTGCCCAGGCTACTACTGCTGCCTGACACTGATCATCACCAGGTGGAGTTAACTAACACCGTACAGTAATATAACTTAAGTCCATATTTTTAATACTGTACTACAAATTTTGTATGAATGACTAGGGAAGCATCACTTTTCTTACTACATTTATGTCCTGTATGGTATTTTAAAAATAATATTTCTGTTGCTGGCAGACTTATGGAAGAGTGTAGCCTGAAGTCAACGACACTTTCAGCAAATCAATAATGAATAAAAAGGCACAATACCATCACTGGAACAATACACAAATAGTCCACACATAGGGGAGAGGAGCTTATGATGACATTTTAGTCAAACCTGGACCATTTACAAAGTCACAGTGTGTGACTTTGTAACTGGTTCAAGTCGGACTGAAATGTAGTCGTAAGCTCCTCTCTCCTATGTGTGGGTTTTGCATTTATAAATCGGTAACATAACATGATTTGACTCATGGTGTGAACCACCTCACCATATTGTACCCCTGAACAATGTTCTTATGTTCTGTTAATGATCTATTATTTCAGGTATATGCTTCTAAACTGTTGTATTCTGAGCACCTCTGCAAAAACAAGTGATTATGTGATTATGTGTGAATGAGGTGAAAGTGTTAAATGATGATGAAAGCATTTTCTTTTTGGGGATTTTTTCTTTCTTTTTGGGTCACCCTGCCTCGGTGGGAGACAGCCGACTTGTAAAAAAGTATTTCTTTATTTATTTAGGTGTTAGAGAAGATGGGTGTAGGTGGTGTGCGGGTGCTGGCTCACACTCAAGCAACACTGCAACAAGAAGCTCTTCAAAGTATCCCCAGCCTTGCTGCCTCACAAGAACTCACGAATGCCATTGGGTAGGTCCTATCAGTCTGTATGGCACAATTGTGTTGGTTATTTTTCCAAGAGTGGCTTATATCATGTCAATACCAGTATATTATGGCATGCTTGTCTTGTATGGTAAATGGTTCTAAGCAATATTACTTTCATAACCCCTGCTATAATTCCCAGTTATCTATTTTCTGAATGACAATTTGTCATTAACCTGTACTAGTAAACTAAAGGGAGTATCACAATTTTCAATAATCAATTAGAATATGAACACAATTTTACCATTCTTGTCGGAATTTATGCATACACAACTCCATCCTGTTGTATGTAATGTTGATATGTACTAACAAATTATTGTATTAGATAACATGACCCTTTATTAATAATGTCTTAGCAGACTTGCATAATAGTTTGTTTTCCTTACATGTGTAGGTCAGTGGTGCTGGCAGTGGTTGTGACAGGGGAGGGGATAGAAGACTGTGTTGCAGAATTTTCACCCCTACACCTGAGCCAGGACACAAGCAGTGCCCAGGTTGAAGTGGAGCTCTACTTCCCGGACCTCCTTGTTGCTCATGACCATGAAGATGAACCCCAAACACAGATGCAGATTGAACAGAACAGAGAAACTAATGGAGAGTGAGCAAGTTAAACATCATTATGCACCCCATAACCATCCTGCAGGCAGTAATTAAAAGATTACAGAGAGTTACCTGTTATAGCAAGACTTTTAGACAAGGAAAGTTTTAACTTATCATAGTATCAACTGAGTATGATTTGTCAAATTATTAGGTAGAGATATGTGATGATGGTTTTGTGAGCGAGGGGCTTGGACTTCCAGCAGGCGTGTGCGAGTGTGTTAGATAGGAGTGAATGGAGACGAATGGTATTTGGGACCTGACGATCTGTTGGAGTGTGAGCAGGGTAATATTTAGTGAAGGGATTCAAGGAAACCGGTTATTTTATATAACCGGACTTGAGTCCTGGAAATGAGAAGTACAATGCCTGCACTCTAAAGGAGGGGTTTGAGATATTGGCAGTTTATAGGGATATATGCTGTATTTTTATACGTATATACTTCTAAACTCAGGAGCAAGGGGCTAGTAACCCCTTCTCCTGTATATATTACTGAGTGTGAAAGGAGAAACTTTTGTTTTTCCTTTTGGGCCACCCCGCCTCGGTGGGATACGGCTGGTGTGTTGAAAGAAAGAAAGAAGACTTCTAAACTGTTGTATTCTGAGCACCTCTGAAAAAACAGTGATTATGTGTGAGTGAGGTGAAAGTGTTGAATGATGATGAAAGTATTTTCTTTTTGGGGATTTTCTTTCTTTTTGGGTCACCCTGCCTCGGTGGGAGACGGCCGACTTGTTGAAAAAAAAATAGATTTTATATTTTGATGCAAAAACATAAAAAGGTCAATGGTGCAGGCGTTGGCCATAGTTTTCCGTGGCTCCCATCCTGGATCCAGCCCTTGGACACAAGCACGATATAGTCATGCCTTGAGAAATTCAGAACACTCAAGAGAGAAATCGTTTACAATTAATGTGCAAATATAGGATGTACATACATGCTTGATTGAAAGAAGTAATAAACAAAATCCAGCTTGGTGTAAATTATAATCTAAGCAAAGCTAATTATATAATGGACAAGTTGCATGAGAACAGAGTTCAGTAATTCATTAAAGAGAATATTGAAGGTAACACCAAGGAGATCTCTTTGTGGGGTATCTAGTCTTTATTTACACTCTTATGCCTCTAAAATAGTACAAATAACATAACACTGGTCATAGAGAACTCTAACCTCATTAATACTGAACTTTAATAAGACTATGGTATGCTTTAGTCAATATTTTGACTTTATACCAAATTCATTACTAAAATTCAGTATAAGCCTTAAAAATTTGCAACCTTGACAAAATCTTACTTTAGTCCCAAGTGCATCAGCTTGCGCAGATATTTTGGTCCCTCCCAATATCCACTGTAAAAAGAAAAAATATATAAAATTACTGTTTTAAATGAAGATGAATAAATCTTGTACAGTGGTATCTCGAATTTCGAACAGCTCCCAGTTCCAACAACTATGTAAGTGTATTTTTGGAGGTCTGAAACAGACTAATCTAATTTACATTATTCCTTACGGGAACAAATTCGTTCAGTAACGGCACTTGAACGAATTATGGCGAAATGTGAGGTACCACTGTACAATATTCTGTTGTATTTTCATTTTACATCTGTATTTTGTAATTTAAAGAAAATTACTGTATAACAAAGTACATATGTAAATAATCTGTCCCACTACATGGACACTGCTCATCCATTTCCTCCTAACACTGGGTCACCTTAATGGAGGGATTAGAGTGGTTGGTTTTTAAGGAGTTGGGAGCCTCTTCTCTATGGGGTGAGAGGGGCAACTAAGAGCCCAACATCTCTTCTGGCATAAATATTGTCTATTTCATCTTAATTTGCTAACATATTACAGCCAATGACACACAAGAAATTATGCATATAGATCGGGAGCATGAAATAGGTTTACCTGCTTTGTGATTATGATTTATATGAGAGTGAATTGGTCACAACAGTATCAAGCTGATAATAAGGTAACATTATTCATGTAAGAAATGGAATATGTTTAAAGCACCGATTAACCAAACAGTTCTAATACTTTATAAATAAAATAAAACAACTCTTCGTGTCTGTGAGAAATGGCCAGTTTGTTGAAAGAAGAACTCTTTGTGTCTTATGGCAATGTGGTGTAAATATTATGCAGAGAATTCGTAGTGTGGAAATTAGGTGTGGTTACTAAAACTATTATTCAGAGGGCTGAAGAGGGGTTATTGAGGTGTTTAATTCATTTAGAGAGGATGGAGCAAAACAGGTTGACTTGGAGGGTGTATAAATCTGTAGTGGAGGGAAGGAGGGGTAAGGGTTATCTTAGGAAAGGATGGACAAAGGAGGGTTTGTGTGCAAGGGGCCTGGACATACAGCAGGCATCTTCTTCTTTCAACAAACCGACCGCATCCCACCAAGGCAGGGTGCCCCAAAAAGAAAAACAAAAGTTTCTCTTTTTAAATTTAGTAATTTATACAGGAGAAGGGGTCACTAGCCCCTTGCTCCTGGCATTTTAGTCGCCTCTCACAACATGCATGGCTTACGGAGGAAGAATTCTGTTCCACTTCCCCATGGAGAACAGCAGGCATATGTGAGCATATTAGATAGGAGTGAATGGAGATGAATAGTTTTGAGGACCTGACAAACTGCTGAGTATAAGCAGGGTAATGTTTTGTGAAAGGATTCAGAGAAACCGATTAGTTGGACATGAGTCCTGGAGGTGGAAAGTACAATGCCTGCACTTTAAAGGAGGGGCTTGGGATATTGGCTGTTTGGAGTGACATCTAAACTGTCATATCCCAGTGCCTCTGCAAAGACAGTGATATGTGGATGATGAAAGTGTTGAATGATGGTGAAAGTGTGTGCTTCTTTTTCGGGTCACCCTGCCTCGGTGGGAGATGGCTGATATGTTGAGGAAAAGAAAAAACTTTAAAAGACCTGTGTAATTAACAAAACTTCAATTTGCAATAACCAGAGATTTGAAAAAACTAAAGCAGAGCTCTCTGATATACTACTGTATTTTCAAACATATAAAGTGCACTTTTTGTCCCACAAAAAGTCTTGGAAAATCAGCCTGTGCCTTATATGCTCAAGGTCAGGGTCAAGGGTAGGCTTTGGGTTAAGCTTTAACAGCTGTAAAATAATGTTATAAGTGCTTGCAAACACAGTCTTATGTGCTTGTGCGCCTTATATGCCCTAAAATACAGTATACAGTAGTCCCTCCATATCCACGAGGGATACGCTCTGAGATCTACCATGGATAGTAGTGAACCCTATATACAGTGGAACCTCTTACGAGTTTAATCCATCTCATGATCTTGCTCGTATCCCAATTTGCTCGTATACCGAGTCAATTTTCCTCATTTAAATTAATTGAAATGAAATTAATCCGTTCCGGCTCTCAGGAGGCACGACAAAATACTTCAATATTTCACTAATATCAACTCTACGGCTTATTTATCTATCATAATTCATCTAATATGACATAATAAACAAAATAAAATAACAGAAACCTGATATATACTCTAAAATGAATAAAATATGTCATTATTTGACAAGTGGAGGCGGCCGTAACCCCTCCTGCATTGTTGTGGTATTCACTGCCATCTAGTGACGGCCTTTCGAAGCTATTATTATAATTATTATTATAGTACATTATTATTATACTTGTATGATTATTATTATTATACATATATTATTATACATATATTATTATACTATTATTATTATACATATTATCATTATTATTATTATTATTATTACTATTACTCTTGCTTACCATTTGGAATTTTTATTCACACAAAAAATAGAGATTTACTGTTATGCAGACTACTGCATTATTGTAATAATTGTACGTATAGGTAATGTCAACCCATTCATGACTTGCGTATTGGAATGGTCACTTGGATGGTGACATTGTTTGTTTACTCTTGAACATTGCCAAAGAATTGAACATTTCTGCTACTTTGAGCTTAATTGCACGTTACTTTTTGTTGTGAAACCAATCAAAATCATATCTATTTCTGTAATATATCTTCCATTCCATCAAAGGAGACCAAAAAAATGAGAATACAACCATAAAACCCATACGAAAATACTGCTAAGGGGTGGCAAATGGCCGAGAAGTGATCTCCGTTATTTATGGTCTGATTTCTTTCATTTTTGGTGTACGTTATGGAGCATCTTTCCATCATACAGTGCCCAAGTTTCAGTAAGATAGCCCAACAAACAACTAAGAAAAAAAATATTTACTAAAAATCATTTATCATTATTATTATAATAAGAATTATATTAGGTGTGGAGTTAATAAAAGTATTAGTCAGAGGGCAGAAGAGGGGTTGTTGAGGTGGTTTGGTCATTTAGAGAGAATGGATCAAAGTAGAATGACATGGAAAGCATATAAATCTATAGGGGAAGGAAGGCAAGGTAGGGGTCGTCCTTGAAAGGGTTGGAGAGAGGGGGTAAAGGAGGTTTTGTGGGCAAGGGGCTTGGACTTCCAGCAAGCGTGCGTGAGCGTGTTAGATAGGAGTGAATGGAGACGAATGGTACTTGGGACCTGACAATCTGTTGGAGTGTGAGCAGGGTAATATTTAGTGAAGGGATTCAGGGAAACCGGTTATTTTCATATAGTCGGACTTGAGTCCTGGAAATGGGAAGTACAATGCCTGCACTTTAAAGGAGGGGTTTGGGATATTGGCAGTTTGGAGGGATATGTTGTGTATCTTTATACATATATGCTTCTAAACTGTTGTATTCTGAGCACCTCTGCAAAAACAGTGATTATGTGTGAGTGTGGTGAAAGTGTTGAATGATGATGAAAGCATTTTCTTTTTGGGGATTTTCTTTCTTTTTTGGGTCACCCTGCCTCGGTGGGAGACGGCCAACTTGTTGAGAGAAAAAAAAAATTATATTATAATTATTATTATTATTAATTTAGGGAACTGAAGCACAGATCCAGTTCTCTAGATCAAGAGCAAGAGCCTCTCACCAGCGTCTAGGAACCTCCCTTGAGGCCCACTCGCATCCTGAAATTTCGCTCATATCCAGAAGCAAAAAATCAACCAAGCAACTGCTCATATCCTGAAAAACTCACAAGATGGGGCACTCGTAAGCCGAGGTTCCACTGTATGTCATTTTTCATTTACATACATATGATAAAGTTTAATTGAAAAATTATGCAAAATAAGTCTAGAATTAGAGCTTTTGTTTATTGATGGAAAGCATTTCATAGCTTCTCTTAGGCTTTGAAGAACTGCCAGCATCACTACTTTTGCACTTTGGGGTTATTTTTGGGCCTATACAATAGACAGTGGATAATTGAAACTGTAGATACTGAATCCATGGATACTGGGGTTCTACTGTATAATACATTATAACATTTTGAAGAATAAAGACAGTACTTTCCTAGTACAGTAAATTAAAAAAAAATCTGAAGGACAAACACCTCTTCTTTGTTAAGTAGTACAAAGTTACTACAAATGCAATTAAGTAAAATTGGCAAACCTAATTTTTCTCCCACATAAACAAGATTCTTGGCCCATATATAACAATATTCAAGGAACCAACTATTCTGCTAACGAGATAAACTACTGTATCTGAAATCACCACGTCTCAACATTGTTACATAGTACTACTTTTAAAATTGTAAACTACTGTAGTATAAATATTTCTTTATAAAGGTGTCAATTTTATAAATTACACAAGTATCACCTGTACTTGCATGACATGCTTGTACTAGCTCTTTTTTTTTATATGCTAATGATGTTAGGTGAAAGAAGGGCACTAATAAAAGCCAATATGAAAAACCTTAATATTCACTTACTTCAGCAGTCCAATCCAGTACATATGTGGCATCATATCCTTTTTAAGATGAAACATAAGGCGTCGTTCCTTTGCTTGATTGATGGGAAAAGTCTCCAATGGGTTCCCATTCATATCAAACTCTGCCATAATGCACTTTGAATAACCTGTGAGGAATGACAAATATTTTTAAATAATTTTATGTACAGTCCACAAATATTTTTAAATATGTCTAGAAATCAATGCTATATGATCCTTATGGGTTTAGTGCTTAGTTATAATTTTTTTTTTTTTTCAACAAGTCGGCCATCTCCCACCGAGGCAATTATTATTATTATAATTATAATAATAATTGTGTACAGATATTTTTAAATATTTTAACGTACACAACTTTTCAGGTACCTTTGAGGAATTAAATTTTTAAAAGTATTATGTATTTGAATATCACGATCTATACACGTTCTTTTAAATGTTCTTTACTCTAGAAGTTTAGAAACTGCTCCCAGGAATTTGTTCCGAAAGAGTCAGCAACCCATATGATTGTATAAATACTATACAATGTTGATTTATTTTATATTTTAAAGTCTAATATAACTCTTATAATGTGAAAAAATAACTCAATTTCACAAATGTATACTGATCATTAACAATGTGTAAATTAAATTAAATTTTATTTCTTTGCATAATATACAATGTGTGATTTTTTTTTTTTTAACATGTTGGCCATTTCCCACCAAGGCAGGGCGACCCAAAAAGAAAGAAAAAAAAACTTTCATCATTCAACACTTTCACCATCACCGAGTCCTGGAAATGGGAAATGCAATGCCTGCACTTTAAAGGAAGGGTTTGGGATATTGGCTGTTTGGAGTGACATCTCAACTGTCGTATCTGAGCGCCTCTGCAAAGACAGTGATTATGTGTGAAGGATGGCTAAGTGTTGAATGATGATGAAAGTTTTTTCTTTCTTTTTTGGGTCACCCTGCCTCAGTGGGAAACAGCCGACGTGTTAAAATAAATATGGTTAAGTACAAAGAAAGCCACTAACATGCCTGAGCATTTCGGACAATCACTTCCAGCAAAACGGGTATGAACATTGATGACTTACTGACACTGCCCATACCAATGAATTACAGTAGCGATATTCTGACTGTCACACTGGCTCAACTACTGAATGCCATATCTCCACCAAAGCATTCATCTTCTGTGAAAAAATATATACAGTGGAACCTCGGCTTACGAGTTTAATCCGTTCCGTGACCTTGCTCATATCCTGATCTGCTTGTATGCCAAGTCAATTTTCATCATTTAAATTAATTGAAATGCCATTAATCTGGTCCAATGGAATTCCTGCATGCTTTGTGCACATAAAATGAGGTAAATATGAGTTTGTGTGATTAACTGACTGACTGACTTGCTGAATGACCGACTTGACTGACTGACTTAACTGACTGACTTGACTGAATGACTGACTTACTGACTTTACCCTTAAACTGTCCAAACGTAGATCTATGTTCATACGCGTAGCACTCCGAACGTAGATCTACGTTCGATTTTACATTCTTTCATGCTAAAAAAACGTAATCTACGTTCGGAGTGCTATGCGTATGAATGTAGATCTACATTTGGACAGTTTAAGGGTAACTGACTGACTGAATGACTTTCACTAAAGCGGACCCTGAAATGATGTCTAGAGCACCTCATGCCTTACCGTCAGTTGCATAATGTACTACAGGGTAAAACAGAACAGAAATCCATTACAGAATTTATGCACACTCCAGTACAACCATCAACTCTCCACTCTCTTCACAATCATCGACAAACACCAGCACCCACAATTTAAGGTAAGAAATACTATTATTTCTGTTGCAGTTATAGTCTTAAGCAATAAAAACAACAAAATACATCATGACAATGAACTACAATATTATATTCACTTTTGTTTTTGCAAGATCTGGAGGCCTAAAAAAAAAAAGTTGTTTGAGGGGGAAGCTCGCATCCTGAATTTTTGCTCGTATCCATAAACAAAATTGACCAAGCGACTGCTCATATTCTCAAAAACTCGTATAGTGGGGTACTCGTAAGTCAAGGTTCCACTGTACTTTTGTTTAACACATTGGCCATCTCCCACTGAGGTATGGTAACCCAATAAAAGATTTCACCATCACTGTCTTGTCAGAGGCATGCTGATACTATAGTTTATATGCCCCTCCAAACTGCAAATATTCCCACTCCTCCTTCAGAGTGCTGGCACTGTACTTCCCACTTCCAGGACTCGAGTCCTTGGAGTGACTGGTTCAAATACAGTATGTACACCTCAAATTAACAAATTTCTTTTTTTTTTTTTTTTTTTTTTTTAACAAGTTGGCCATCTCCCACCGAAGTAGGGCGACCCAAAAAGAAAGAAAATCCCCAAAAAGAAAATACTTTCAACATCATTCAACACTTCCACCTCACCCACACAATCACTGTTTTTGCAGAGGTGCTCAGAATACAACAGTTTAGAAGTATATACGTATAAAGATACACAACATGTCCCTCCAAACTGCCAATATCCCAAACCCCTCCTTTAAAGTGCAGGCATTGTACTTCCCATTTCCAGGACTCAAGTCCGGCTACATAAAAATAACAATATGTTTCCTATTTTCTTTTTTTAACTCAATGGCTGTCCTCTGCCAAGGTAGAAACCACATTCACCAATATTCACTCAGTTCCTGTCTTTCCAGGAGGGTGCTCACATGGCAATTATATTACTTTCTGACTACAGCATCCCCACACCTCCTTCAGGGTGCAGACACTGCCCTACCTACCTCTAGGACTAGTCTAGCTAACTGGTTTACCTGAATCCCTTCATAAAAGTTGCCCTGCCTACACTTCAACAGTACATCCATGCACTCCTATCAAATACTTTTTATATAATTTTTAAGCACAATGAATAATAATAATACAGTAATAATATCTATTTCTACAAGTACATGTACAAGGTATACAGGCCTAGCTGACATCTATGACATACTACTATATAGAAAGCTGCTTGTTATGCAGAGCATTTTGGGCAAATTAGGTCAGTTTTGTCCCAGGATGCGACCCACATCAGTCGACTAATACCCAGGTACCCATTTTATACTGATGGGTGAACACTTAAATAAACCATACCACAGGCAGGGATTGAACTCGTGGCGAGTGGGTCGTAAAACTCCAGGCCAGCACGTAAGCCACTGGGTCAGCTGGCTACAATAAGATTCATCCAACTAGGTATATTTATACACCACAGAGAGGCTAGAACAGGCACCACTGTGACCACTTGCCACGAGTTCAATCCCTGCCTGTGGTATGGTTTGTTTGCAATTGTGTCATTACAATTTCCTGAGTAATAAGAAATGGGTTAATAAATCTCAAACCTTTAAAGACACAGCATGGAAACAATTATCTATTTAATTTTGTCACATTATTACAACTTTAAGGAAATATTACACTCCTTTGCCTGGAATGTACAGTGGTACCTCGGGATACGAACTTAATTCATTCCAAAAGGCTGTTCGAGTGCCGATAACGAACAAATTTCTTCCCATAAGGAATAATGCAAATTAGATTATCCGTTTCAGACTGCCAAAAATACACTTACAAAAGCACTTACATAAATACACTTACATAATTGTTCGAGTTTTAAGCTGTTTGTATCCCGAGGTACCACTGTATGAAGTAGGAGTAGGGAAAGACACTTGTTTAAAAATTTTAATGAATGAATACATGCAGTAGTGAACAAAAAGAAGAGTATTTACTGTTCTTACCAGTTACAAGTGGACAAGAAGTGTAGCCATCATAGAGACTAGCTGGCAGTTTACCTGCCATTGCTAGGCTCAGGTTTTTACGCAAAACTCCACACTGGCCAGCTGCAAAATAATAGCAATAACAATAATGATGAGAATAATAACTACTATACCATATTATTATTATTAAAATAAAAAAGAAGTGCTAAATCTACAAAGGTCATTACTATACCTTAAAAAAAAATCCCAGTAAATAATAACTAATATAACTAACAGAATCATTAACATATACAGCTGAACACATACATACATACTGGCATCTACAATTTGAAGAGAAGTTGCAAAGGTTAATGGACGAGTTTGGGAGGGTGTGAAAAAGAAATATGAAAGCGAACAGAGATAAGAGTAAGGTGATGAGGGTTATCAAACGAGTTTGGTAAAGAAAAATTGGATATCACAATGGAGGGAGAGAGAATGGAAGAAGTTAATGTATTCAGATATTTGGGAGTACTAATTTTCAACGGATGGATTTATGAAGGATAAGGTAAACCATAGAACTGATGAAGGAAAAAAGGGTGGGTGATGTAATGAGGTATCTGTGGAGACAAAGAATATTACCAGGGAGGCAAAGAAGGTAATGTATGAGAGTACATGTATAGTGGTACCAACACTCTTACATGGGTGTGAAGCACGAGTTGTAAATGCCCTCAGAAACAACATCTCCACTGCCTCCAGCCTTCTCATGTCTTCAACATTCACAACCCATGCTTCACACCACATAAGTATTGATACAATTATACTCTTATACATTCCCCTTTTTGCCTCTAAGGTGGTTGATGCTGTGAGGCATCAATGTATCACCTCATCAATTCCGTGGTTCACTTCATCTTTCACAGACCCATCCACTGACAAGTCCACTCCCAAATATATGAACACTTTCATTTCTTCCATATTCTCTCCTTCCAATCTGATATAGTACTATTTTTCATTACCTAAATTGTTTATTTTCATCACCTTGCTCTTTTCTTCCTTCTTTTACATACTTCTTAAACAGTGATGACAAAACTACATATACATATTACATAAGTATAGAATATTGTTATGATCATGGGATGATATAGTACCTGAGAAAGGGAGGTAATCTGGTATAATCTGAGGAAAAGGAGGGTAGTTCTAATTCCTTGGATCAAAAGCCCTTCAGCATCAAGGGACCCCTCCCCTTGAAAACAATGATACGCACCAATAGCGGCAGCAGTTTTAGAGGTGGGAACATTTGTACAATCTCCAATGCCAAATATATTTGGAAAACATGTATGCTGCAGAGTTTCTTTGTTGACATTAAGGAAACCAGTAGCATCTACCAGGAGACCACAATTACGGAGGACATCCGGAGTGCTCATTGGTGGCGTCACGTGAAGCATTTCATACTGTGAAAACAAAAAGATATACGTACTGTACAACTACAGTACAACTATAAAAGGAAGAGTAAAAACAAAGAGAACACACTGTCTTAATTGTTGAGCACCCTTAGGTGTAATACTGTAACAAAGTGAATTAGAAAGCATGTGTTGCTTGTGAAAGCACGCACACAAGTATACTTATATGCCACTCTGCATGCACATATAAAAGCCAAAATTTAACAGAAAATCAAGCCTACCACACCATCATACATCTTCCTCAATTTATTTTTAACCCACCAGTCATCTTCCACCAAGGTAAGGTGACCAGAAAATGAACAAACATCCTCTTCAACTGGCATAAAGTATTTGATAACATGGAAAGCGCACATGGTAATACATGCAACATAGTACAACACCTTAACAAATGATATACACAGTTTACTTCCACATAAATATTATTCCAGGACCAATTAAGTTACTGAGGTATAGCAAATATTCTATTACCTAAATTGGACCAGGGTTGGGATTGGGAGTCATCTGTTGATAAATAAAAACAATTGGGATCATTTTTGGCACGTTTCGAACACAGTGTTATCAGTCATAATAGGATAACTTGTAAGAACATGGATTAAATGAGGATACCTGACCTTTATTGATGGTTCAGGTCATCATCTCAAAATACCCAAACTTGCCATGTAGTTTTTATATTGCTTTATCTAACATCATCTAACATCTGTTGGATAAAACACAAAAATGAAGAGTGTTTTGCACATTTTGTAATCCAACAGTAGTAATATTTTTTTAATGATTTTTAACGACTGAATTTTTGGTAAGGATTCACATACTCAATGATAATGAGAATTTACTTTAACAGCCAAAACTGTGTGGGGAAAATTTCAAATGTAAAGCTCGGTTGATTGCATGCATTTTATCTAAAGTACGCATTTTTAATATTTTACGCATTTTTAACTGCATCATTTTATCATAAATGTGTTTATAGGGTGCATTCGTTTTAAGGCAATCGGCATTTATTTCTTAATGATTAATAAGGTTGGATTATTGTAGTTTTAATTCTTCTGGTTTGTCTAGATTCTGAAAAACTGCTTCTTTAGAGTCTGGCTTTACTTCAATAAGGTTCTGGCGAAGGTTCACCTTTATGTTTCTTTCCTTCACAACCTGTGATTATAATAGAAAAATAAATAAGGCAAGAGGATAGAAATTATATTAGCTAAAATTATACATGTTTTGGATACACACAAGTGTAAGAAGCACATAAAAGAATTAATTTGTATTTTGTAAATATATGAACAGCTTAACTGATCAGTTTGTCATATAATTCCTTGACATACACAATCAAGAGTATAAAAAATACAATAGAAACTTATTTCTTTTCAAGAAGACATAGTAGTTAATGAGTGTAAAAGGCTTCAAGAAAAAAATTTGTGCAACTACTGTACTGCAAAATTAATAAATAATAATAAATTAAAAAATGATGCATACCTCTAATCCTGTAATTCTACACAACACTAATGTAAATCAGCATTACTGACCTCCCATAGTGCATCGGCATACTTTTTGACGCCAAAGATAACTGGCAGGGAAGTGTTGTAAATTATATTCGCCTTGTCCCGCTTGCCATGCTAGTGAATGGAAATACATACAGTACTTATGTAAATATCCACCTTACATACAATATACAGCATTTGCAAAATGGAGAAATTTTGGGATAGCCTTAAGAAGGAAATTTATATATTACAGTGGACCCCCGGTTAACGATATTTTTTCTCTCCAGAAGTATGTTCAGGTGCCAGTACTGACCGAATTTGTTCCCATCAGGAATATTGTGAAGTAGATTAGTCCATTTCAGACCCCCAAACATACACGTACAAACGCACTTACATAAATACACTTACATAATTGGTCGCATTCGGAGGTGATCGTTATGCGGGGGTCCACTGTATATGGTAAACCTATATTATGCTCCAAGAAAGACTGTTTTCAAATTAATTATTTAATTAACAATGCAAAACATTTAATGCTGATTTGTGGTGTCACGAGGCAAGTTTTACAACAAATGGTTCAATATTTGTAGAGAAACTATATATAGTTTTTTATGCCTGGTCTTAAAATAACAGCTGATAGATATGTCACCTAAAAAATGTCTTAAACTGACTTTTTTATTAAGAAATTTGATATAGTTTGATTAATTAGTAACCCAGAGAAAACAAAGATAAATTATAGTTGCGAAATAATGGCAAAACCTATTAGATCTAATCATGATAAATCTTTATAAATAAAGTACAGCAAATCACTATCTCACAAAAAAATCAGCATATGACATGTTCCCTGCCTAAACTCCATTAGGTAACATTAAAAAATCAGTCAGCTGTCCAGACAGTTGCTATCTGTTAAAAAAAAGACACATGAATTAAATTTAATGATGTGTGTGTTTACCGACCGAGTTAGCCTAGCTAAGTTAGGATTTGTTTGCAAATCTATTCTCTCACACTGCATCATCATGTACTTAAATCTAAAATACCCAGAAATTTAGAGATGCACAACTCACTCACATATGTTCAAGAAATACAAAACCTAGATACAGTATTTAATTCATAATGACAGCATCAAAATTTCTTGACAAATACTCTAACTTTACTTACTGTAAAAAAAAAAAATCATAATCACTGTACCTTATATGCTACAGTGATACACTAAAAATCATAGAAACTCTTACCTTGCGAAAATATTCATCTGATATGTACATGACTTTCTGGGGAGCTCCAGCACATTTTACTGGTGTTGCAGGAAAAGTAAAGACAGCGTTACCTTCAGAAAAGTTCTCTAGGCTTTTCAAGGTGTTCTTGACATATAATGGAGAGTAGTTTGAACATACACCTGGTGTTGAAAATGCATCTGGCAGACCTTTAATCTGATAAGAAAAAGTCTAAATTAAGATTCAATACTTTGAAAAACAAATAATTTAAGAATGTAGGTTATTATATATTCATCACATAACCTACTCATTACTATATGCAAACCTTCTTTAAAAATAATTGTAATGATTCATTACCACAAAAATAAAGTACCATACTTCATAAAGTAAGCTAAACAATAAATACTATTAATGTGACCCAAGTGAGACTCGACTCTACATAATGCTTCATTAAGAGTCAAGAAGACTAGTATTTTAAAAGCTAATCAATAAAAGAATGAGCCTGTAACATCCTCCTTTATGAAGCTAAAATTGTATAGGTGTCACAAAAGTTGGTGATAAAAGGTATAAAAACCCATACTATACTTACCTGATTATAGTTGAGCTGAAGACCCAGAGCAATGACTAAATATTCATAGCTAACTTCCTGACCATCATCTGTCATAACTTTGTTGTTCTTTGGGTCAAAGCTTACGACACACTGTTTGATCCAGTCAGCTTTCTTGGGTAGTACCTAAAATGCCAATATGCAAAACAAGATCAAATGATATTACACAGTCAAAAGTATTTCATGGTAAATGCTGTTTTTTGATGTTTAAGGCAACAATTGTAGGAAGAATATATGAATCTTATACTTTCAGCACTTTCTGAATCATATATTTTCAAACAGGTGAGGTGCTGACTATTGTATATACACGACATTGCAGTCCGACTTGGACCATTTACAAAAAGGAAGAAAAAGAAGTAGTGGTAGTGGTTATGCTGGTAGTGCAAGTAGTAGGGAGAGTAGTTCTAGAGGCACAAGAGAAAGAAAGGGGAGTGAGTTCACTAGATATTATATCTACTGATCATTTCAACAGTTCTCACAGAAAAAAAAAAAACAATGGGCTACTAGCTAAACATAAAATAACATATAAACACATATGGGTTAACAGATGCAAGACAATTTAACATCACTTGGTACTGCACATCATACTGTAGCTAACCTTACTCATTGGTTTCCCCGAGTCTTCTAGTTTCTTCATTCCTCCGCCTACAAGCGTCCACATGGGTTGGTAGTAGTGCATCTGAAAATGTTTAATGTGCAGAATAAATCTTATTTATTAATAGCTCAGGGAATCATTGACCCTGTGGAGTGGTCTAAGCCTCTTTTTATTAAAAAGAAAATTCCTGTATTACTGAAATAAGTACATTAATAGAATATACAGACACAGGAAAGTAAAAATGTGTGTAAACCAAATTTAAATAAAAGTTTATAAAATTTACCTGAAATCTTGTGTTATGAAACAGAAATAGAAGACTAGCAATTCTGCAAGTGCATAACTTTATATGCACATCTTTTCACACTCATATGACAGGATGGCAGTACCTCCAAGGATGGTTACTGTCTACCAACCTACTTTGTACATAGTATAGCCACATCAGTGAAGTGTTATTTCACTGGACCTGACCCACATCAGTGAAGTGTTATTTCACTGGACCTGACCCACATCAGTGAAGTGTTATTTCACTGGACCTGACCCACATCAGTGAAGTGTTATTTCACTGGACCTGACCCACATCAGTGAAGTGTTATTTCACTGGACCTGACCTATATCAGTGAAATTACAGTTTACATTAACTGATATAAAAAAAGGAAATCAGCTCATTTTTAGTCATAATATTAACTAATGTATTACAAAAAAATATATATTATTATTATTATTAACACACTGGCCGATTCCCACCAAGGCAGGGTGGCCCGAAAAAGAAAAACTTTCACCATCATTCACTCCATCACTGTCTTGCCAGAAGGGTGCTTTACACTACAGTTTTTAAACTGCAACATTAACACCCCTCCTTCAGAGTGCAGGCACTGTACTTCCCATCTCCAGGACTCAAGTCCGGCCTGCCGGTTTCCCTGAACCCCTTCATAAATGTTACTCTGCTCACACTCCAACAGCATGTCAAGTATTAAAAACCATTTGTCTCCATTCACTCCTATCAAACATGCTCACTTATGCTCACTGGAAGTCCAAGCCCCTCGCACACAAAACCTCCTTTACCCCCTCCCTCTAACCGTTCCTAGGCCGACCCCTACCCCGCCTTCCTTCCACTACAGACTGATACACTCTTGAAGTCATTCTGTTTCGCTCCATTCTCTCTACATGTCTGAACCACCTCAACAACCCTTCCTCAATTACAAATATAAAATTGTAAACTAGGAAATGCAGATTTACACAAGCTAAATAATCATAGATGAAAAAATATTTAGTACTTTTTATTTTTCATGTATAGTAATTCTATTAGGTAGTAGGTTGGTAGACATCAGCTGCCCAGGGAGGTACTACCGTCCTGCCAAGTGAGTGTAAAACAGAAGCCTGTAATTGTTTTACATGATGGTAAGAATGCTGGTGTCTTTTGTTTGTCTCATAAACATGCAAGATTTCAGGTATGTCTTGCTACTTCTACTTACACTTAGGTCACACTACACATACATGTACAAGCATATATATATATACACACCCCTCTGGGTTTTCTTCTATTTTCTTTCTAGTTCTTGTTCTTGTTTATTTCCTCTTATCTCCATGGGAAAGTAGAACAGAATTCTTCCTCCGTAAGCCATAGGTGTAAAAGGCGATTAAAATGCCGGGAGCAAGGGGCTAGTAATCCCTTCTCTTGTATAAATTACTAAATTTAAAAAAAGAAACTTTCGTTTTTCTTTTTGGGCCACCCTGCCTTGGTGGGATACGGCCGGTTTATTGAAAGAAGAAGAAGTATAGTAATTCTGTTGTCACTATACCAGCAGCCTCATATAATACAGTTGTACCTCGAACTTCAAACAGCTCCCAACTCGAACAATTATGTAAGTGTATTTTTGTAAGTGCTTTTGTAAGTGTATTTTTGGGGGTCTGAAACGGACTAATCTAATTTACATTATTCCTTATGGGAACAAATTCATTCAGTAATGACACTGTACTAAAATATTATGAGTGTCAATGAAAAACTAATGACAAAAATGTCCTTTTATAATGAAAAAATGCTGGCATACAATACAGTGGAACCTCGATTTTCGTTTCCCCTGGTTTTTGTCGAATTCGGTTTTCGGCGACTTTTTTCGTCAAAATTTTGTCCCAGTTTTCATTCATTGCCTCGGTTTTCATCTGTCCACCGTACCAAACATGTCCACCTGCCTGCACCCACACAAAGCATCCCATGCATTCTGAGTCAGTCTGGCTTTTTTTTCACGTCAAGTGAGCATTACCCTGTACATTCATCCAAAACATTTTGTAATAATCCAATGTTTTTTGTGCTTGTTTATTGAGTGCGACTGCTAAATAAGCCATCATGGGGCTAAAGAAAGTTCCGAGTACCAGCCCTTTGATGAAGGCAGCGAGAAACATGATAGAATTCAAGAAAGAACTCTTAGCAAAGTACAAACGGGGTTGGATGCGAGTGGCCAGGATGCGGAAGAGTTGGTGGACAACCACAGGGAAGGACTTCTGCGCCAGCCTTCGTTGGGTTTGGACGTCTCTCTCTCACCTGAGTATCAGTGACAAATTTCCACCGTTCTCTCTGGGACGCTTGTCCTCATTTATTTTGCTCGCCGGGCACTCTACAGGAGGGGTACCTGTTCATCGGCTTACTTTTAGCCAGCTCCATTTTTTCCGCTCTGAGGAAAATTCTTTATAGGTCTTTGGCGGGAAGCCGGTTACTGAACTCAGGTGGGAGTGTGGGCATCCTTCTCTGCTGGGGCTTGGCAAGGGGGTCCACCAGATCTAATTGGAAACTTCAAGTTTCTGTCTCTGTTTACAAAGGAACTTTTGTTCCTTTTCTCTCAACCCCCAGCCTTGGGCAACAAATCTTCCTCGTACCATCGAGAAGTCAGGCTCGATACGGCTTATGCTGTCAGTGGCCCTGATAAACCCAACAAAGAAAGAAAAGAAAGAGCCACAGAGAACTAACCACTGAAGAGCTGCAACACCTTCAACTGGAACAGCAATAGATCGCAGCTGAGGAAATTACTTCAGAGGAGAAGGAAGAGAGAGGGAATAATGTGCCTTCTTCAGTGATTAACCCTTTCAGGGTCCGTCCCGTAGATCTACGGCTTTATGTTCAGGGTCCAAACCATAGATCTACGTCATGAGCTCAGCTCACTCTGATAAACTGTGAGTGGTACATTTGGGCCTAGATATGAGAGAATACATATATGTGGTATGTGTGCACCACATAAAACAAATCCTGCAGCACACTGTGTACAATGAGAGAAAAAAAACTGAAATCATGATTTTTCGATTAAAACAGCGACTTTGCAGTGTTTTTTCGTATGTTTTTTATAGTTGTATTTGCGATTTCTTGGTCTCATTTGATAGAATGGAAGACATATTACAGAAATAGAGATGATTTTGATTGGTTTTAGCACTGGAAATGGCTTGAAACTGAGCTCAAAGTAGCGGAAATGTTAAATTTTTGCCGATATTCAAGAGTAAACAAACGACCTCACACGTCTAATACACGCCAGCTGGTGGGTCTAATATACATTCACAAATATGGTGATGATATTTATACAATTATTACAGTATTGCATAACAGTAAATCTTCTATTTTTTGGTGTGAATAAAAATTCATTATGTGAATAAAAAATCAAAATGGAATTTATTTGTAAAGCCTCAAAACGTAACTAATGAACAGAAAAAGTGTTAATTTAGTTCCAGGAATACCTACATTGTTTATTCTGAACCCTATTTTGAAATTGGAATATTTTGAACTTTGTGTTAAATTGGCCAAATTAACAATTTCCGATCACTTTATTTTGTAGTTGAAACAGTTGACTTGGCGATTTCTTGCGCTCAATCGATAGAATAGAAGTAATACTAGTGAAATAGCTAAGAATTTGGTTGACTGGAATAATGTAATTGGCCTAAAATGGGAGTCAAAGTCGGCAAAATCGTCGATTCGTAAATATTGCTGACACATCAAAATTCGCGAGAGCATAATTTCGTCAATTTTCCATCAAATTTCGTACTTTTTGTTTTATTACCTTCACAAAAAGAATCTCTACCATTTCATAAGAAAAAATAACAAATTTTTTTTTTTTAAATTCTTGGACACTGGGGCACCACTTCAGATTTGGGCCTTGGACCCTGAAGGGGTTAAGGACATGTGCAAAGTGGAGTGAGTTGCAAAGTTTTGTGGAGAAATATCACCCTAGCAAAGCTGTTGCAAGCCATGTCTAACATGTTCAATGACAATGCCTTGTCCCATTTTAGGCAAATCTTAAAGATGCCAGAAACAGACCTCTCTGGACAGATTTTTTGTGCGACATGGGTCCAGTGCCAGTAAAAGACAAAGAAGGGAACTAACCCTGGATAGGGACTTGATACCTGAAGTCCTTATGAAGGGGGATTCCCCTTCTAACCATTAACCTCTCCTCCTGCCTCTCCCCTCCTCATGTCTCCCATACGCCAACAAGACTCTTCAATAAAGGTAAAAGTGATATTAAATGTTCATTTATCCATTTCAAAAGTCCTTTATATTTATTTCTCATTGTTTTCTGTATGAACAACTATAGTTATTTTCTATAAAATGTATTTCTTGTTAATATTTTTGGGTGTCTGAAACGAATTAATTGGATTTACATTACTTCTTATGGGAAATATTGCTTCAGTTGTTGTCGAATTCGGTTTTCATCAGACTTTCTGGAACAAATTAATGACAAAAACCGAGGCTCCACTGCATATAAAAAAAACTTTTCCACAAAGAGTATCATGTCCAAATTCTTATGAACTCATTAAATTATTAAAAGCAAATAAATTTTGTACTGTATATACAATACATAATACAATATGACAAGTAGTGCAATAAAAAAAACTTACATCAGCAGGTTCAATTACAGCCACTTTTCCCTTTCCAAGTTTGGAAGAGAACTTGGCAGCCATAGTACAGCCCCCAGCACCACCACCCACCACCACCAGTTGATAACTGCCAGATACAAAAACATCAAATCTTAAAAACAAACACCCATATCTGATGTTCACTTTCATTAGTGTACATATTTATGGAAACTAAAATGATCAGCACTCTACTCTCTCTTTTTCATCTACATTTTCATTCCATTACAAATTCACATTTAGAAAAACTGGAAATGTATATCACACATTCAAGAAATCTCTAAACATAACATACATTTAGAGAAATCCATAGATACCAAATAACAAGTTAGGCCAGTTCCTAAAAATAATCAAACCAATTAAACATTTGATAATGACAGTGTTTTAAAAACTTACAAGAGAAGTTGTAAAGTTGATGAAGTTGAAAGGGAACCTATAGAGGAACAAGATAAGTAAGTTTATTTAGGTACAGGTACACAGAAGAACAATTATCATACAGTGGTACCTTGAGTTTCGAACAGCTCCCAACTCGAACAATTACATAAGTGTATTTTTGTAAGTGCTTTTGTAAGTGTATTTTTGGGGGTCTGAAATGGACTAATCTAATTTACATTATTCCTTATGGGAACAAATTCATTCAGTATTGGCACTCGAACAGCCTTCTGGAGCGAATTAAGTTCGCAACTCAAGGTACCACTGTACATAGTTTAACGAATGGAGATGAATGGTTTTTGGGATCTGACGAGCTGTTGGAGTGTGAGCAGGGTAATATTTTGTGAAGGGATTCAGGGAAACTGGTTAGCCGGACTTGAGTCCTGGAAATGGAAAGTACAATGGCTGCACTTTAAAGGAGGGGTTTGGGATACTGGCAGTTTGGAGGGACATCTGAACTGTCGTATCTGGGCACCTCTGCAAAGACAGTGATTATGTATGAGTGATGATGAAAGTGTTGAATGATGACGAAAGTTTTTTCTTTCTTTCTGGATCACCCTGCCTTGGTGGAAAACAGCCAACGTGTTAAAAAAAAAAGTTTAACGTACGTGTCAATTACCTAGGATAACCCAAAAAAGTCACACACAATGGCTTATTTCCATTGGGGTTCTTGATGAGTCCCACCCATTCTGCAATTTGTTTGCAATAGTGTTATTACAATTTCGTGAGTCACAAGATGTCTGATTGGAGAGAACTAGTACAATATCGAGGAAAGAAATATATTTACATATCTGGTAGCCTTGATCCACCATGAGGCCTGGTCACAGACGGGCCGCGGGGGCGTTGACCCCCGGAACTCTCTACAGGTAAACTCCAGGTAAGTGTATAGATCAGCAAATCGAGTCACCAAGGCAAATCGTTGAAATGATGAGAAAAAGAATAGCTGGAGCATTGGAGTCTATGGATAGAAAATAGTTTGTCAATGGATGCAAAGGGAATGCACTTAAGAATACAGCCTCTCCTCAGGTAAGAGACGTATTCATTTACTGATGACTCGGACTTACGATGGGCTCTCTGACCAGTATGCATACCTAAATAGTGTATATTACAGCTGATTTCCTCTATTCTGTTTATTACAATATATGAACAGTGCATTATAAATGGTGCAAAGGTGATATTAAAACAATATCAAAGATGGATGACACAAACCCACTACCACTATAGTATGCTCCTTGTTTAGCAACGTGGTCTTAGGAACGGAACTCCGTTGCCAAGTGAGGAGAGGCTGTAATGGTAAACACTCTTTTGTATTGGTGTGAGGAATGAACTTTGATGCAGTGAGGAGGGTAGGCGCAGTTGAGAAAGGTAATGGGAATGAAAGTTTAAAGTGACAGGATTCTTAAGAGTTAAATGACTTAAACAATGGTAACAACTGAAGGTTGCTTCTCAATGAAAATCAGATATTACTGTATATTTTAAGACATATACTTAATATACTGTACTGTACAGTGGAACCTCAGTTTTTGTATGCCCTGGTTTATATGTAAAACTATAGTTACTCTCTATAAAATGTATTTTTTGTTAATATTTTTGGGTGTCTGGAACAGATTAATTGGAGTTACATTATTTCTTACAGGAAATATTAACAAAAAAATACATTTTATAGAGAATAACTATAGTTTTACATACAAACTAGGTAATACGAAAACTGAGGTTCCACTGTACATAGTATATTGTAAAATGTAGATTAATGCCAGAATTCTGCCCAGCAGTTGCAAACTATGACCTCTAAAAATAATCATATACATATGCATCACAACTTCAGAAAGTAGTGTGTAAATGATGTAATTTTGTTATGCCAAAATTAGCTCACTCACCTTTTACTGGCCTTGTAAGATGTAGAAAATGCAGCATTCTGAAGAATTACTTTTGAGTTACAACTAGCCACAAGTAGACAACCTTTACGGAGAAACATTCTTGTCAAGGACTGGTGACTAAGCTGTAGATATAATACAATAAGCAAAATTATTAAAAATACAAATAGAGTAAATAAGTAAAGTAAAACAGTATCAAATAAAATCAAAGTTTATTCTCTATAAGGATTACAATGCGGGGTTTACAGATTTTGATTATTGTGTGGTTTACATGTAATAAAATACTAATTACAGAGGGGGCCAATAGAACACCTAGCAAGACTAGGCATTTCAGGCAAACTTAGATTAATTCGTAACCCTAAATTATTACAAATTGTGGAGTAAGTTGATTAAATACTAAGTGACTAAATACTAGTTTGTGAATTTAGCAATGTGAATGCTTTTGTTTTGGCACAATACATAGTTTCTATATTGGAGTATCACAGACAAACTTGTGACTAGTTAGGAATTATTATTTTAAGATTAAGATACGCATTTCTGTGCTTATAGTCAAATGGGTGAGTGAGTGAGTGTAAGTGTGAACCACCAAGTGGTTTTTATGTAGTTAGTTGACAGGGTGTATTAGGGAGATAAGATGTTTTCTAACGGTAGTTTTGAAGGTAATGAATGTGTCTGCAGTTCTAGAGTTTTCAGGCAGGGTGTTCCAGATTTTAGGGCCTTTGACATACATTGAATTTTTGTAAAGGTTTAGTCGGACATGGGGAATGTCGTAGAGATGTTTGTGTCTGGTGTTATGCTTGTGGGTCCTGTCACAACTATCAAGAAAGCATTTTAGGTCAAGGTTAATATTGAAATTTAAGGTCCTGTATATGTAGACTGCACAGTAATAAGTGTGGATGTTCTGAACAGGGAGTAAGTTTAGATCTATGAAGAGTGGGGGCGTGTGTTGCCAGGGATGGGATTTAGTGATTATTCTTACTGCGGCTTTTTGCTGAGTTATTACATATTGGCTTTAGGTGTACTGCTGCAGTTGAACTCCAAGCACAAATAGCATAGGTGAAGTATGGATAAATGAGTGAATGGTATTACCTGGAGTTTACCTGGAGAGAGTTCCGGAGTCAACGCCCCCGCGGCCCGGTCTGTGACCAGGCCTCCTGGTGGATCAGAGCCTGATCAACCAGGCTGTTACTGCTGGCTGCACGCAAACCAACGTACGAGCCACAGCCCGGCTGGTCAGGAACCGACTTTAGGTGCTTGTCCAGTGCCAGCTTGAAGACTGCCAGGGGTCTGTTGGTAATCCCCCTTATGTATGCTGGGAGGCAGTTGAACAGTCTTGGGCCCCTGACACTTATTGTATGGTCTCTTAACGTGCTAGTGACACCCCCGCTTTTCATTGGGGGGATGTTGCATCGTCTGCCAAGTCTTTTGCTTTCGTAGTGAGTGATTTTCGTGTGCAAGTTCGGTACTAGTCCTCTAGGATTTTCCAGGTGTAATAATCATGTATCTCTCCCGCCTGCGTTCCAGGAATACAAGGTTTTGGAACCTCAAGCGCTCCCAGTAATTGAGGTGTTTTATCTCCGTTTTTGCGCGGGCCGTGAAGGTTCTCTGTACATTTTCTAGGTCAGCAAATTTCACCTGCCTTGAAAGGTGCTGTTTAGTGTGCAGCAATTTTTCCAGCCTAGATAGAACAAGTACCTGAAGAGTGTCATCAGGGCTTGGCCTCCCTAGTTTTGAAGGTTCTCAAATTTTCCATCCTGTCATTTTTCTAGAAGATGGGGATTGATACAATGTATGGTCCTTGAAGGTGAGATCCTCCGACATGATCACTCCCAGGTCTTTGACGTTGGTGTTTCGCTCTATTTTGTGGCCAGAATTTGTTTTGTACTCTGATGAAGATTTAATTTCCTCGTGTTTACCATATCTGAGTAATTGAAATTTCTCATCGTTGAACTTCATATTGTTTATTTATTTATTTATTTATTTTATTTATTTATTTATTTATAATTTGAGCACACTTACAGAGGTACAAAAAAAAATACAGATAAGAGCAGCATGCCAAAGCCACTTATACTATGCATAGCATTACGGGCTGGCTTAAAATTAACTTAAGATTAACTAAGCAATGATGAAATCAGTGAAAAACATTAATGTAAACTGATTACTATAAAGCACAAGTGAGTATTACAAAGACAGGTCATATGGTTGCATGCATTGTTGTAAATTCAGTAGAATGGAGTATTCTGTTAGGTAGTGAATTTAAAAAATAATAAAGTTAGATTGGGTTTTAGGTTTAACATTTATGTGATATAATTGTGAGAAACATTTAAGATATACATATTTATAAGGTTCAGTTATTCAGTATTTATTTGGTTTTGGGTGAGTAAGTGATCTTTGAGAAGAGACTTGAATTTATAAACAGGTAGTGTTTCTTTTATATTAACAGGTAATGAATTCCAGATTTTAGGGCCTTTTATGTGCATTGAGTTTTTGCATAGCGTGAGATGGACACGAGGAATATCAAAGAGTGATCTGTGCCTTGTGTTATGGTCATGTGTTCTGTTGAGGTTGGCAAGGGAGATGTTTGAGGGGAGGGTTAATATCAGAGTTGAGTGTTCTATGTATGTAATAGGTGCAGTAATAAGTATGGATGTTTTGTATGGTGAGTAGGTTGAGTGTATTGAATATTGGTGGAGTGTGCTGCCTGTAGTGAGAATTTGTTATCATTCTAACTGCAGCCTTTTGTTGGGTAATTAGTGGTCTGAGATGGTTACTTGTTGTTGAGCCCCATGCACAAATTCCATAGGTGAGATAGGGGTAAATAAGAGAGTGATATAGGGCCAGGAGGGCTGACTGTGGAGCATAGTACCGTATCTTCGATAGTATGCCTACAGTCTTGGAAATTTCCTTAGAAATTTGTTTGTATATGTGTATGAAATTTGAGTCTATTATCAAGGTGGATTCCTAAGAATTTTCCCTCTGTTAGCTTTGTGATAGGTGATCCGTTTATCATTATGTTAAGAGGGACATCTGTAGCTCTGTTACCAAACTGAATGAAGTAGGTTTTGTCAATGTTTAGTGTAAGTTTGTTAGTACTCATCCAGGTAGATATTTTCTGTAATTCGGTATTTACAGTATTGGCTAGCGTGACTGGGCTCGGGTGGGAGAAGACGTATGTTGTGTCATCAGCAAATAGTGTGGGTTTGAGTAATTGAGAAGCATTTGGTAGGTCATTTATGTATAGGAGAAAGAGAAGAGGGCCAAGGACACTTCCCTGTGGGACACCAACTGTAATTGGTTGTGCAGAAGAGTTTGCCCCATTTGCGTACACATATTGGCTTCTGTTGCGAGGTATGACTTGAGGTAGTTGAGGGAGTGCCCTCTTATACCATAGTGTGATAATTTTACGTGGAGCAAGTCATGGTCAACTGTATCAAAAGCTTTACGTAAGTCAATGAAGATCCCCAGTGGGACTTCTTTTTTCTCTATTGCAGTGTATATATGTTCTAGCATGTGTATAATAGCATCATTAGTATTTTTATTAGGCCTGAATAAAATTGGCAGGGGTTGAGTATGTTTTGGGAGATAAGGTAGGAGTAGATTCGTTTATGAATTAATTTTTCGAAGATTTTTGAGAGAGGGTGTAAGTTGGATATTGGCCTATAGTTATTCAACTCTGTTTGGTCTCCTCCTTTGTGGATCGGGGTGACCCTTGTTATTTTGAGTACTGTAGGGAAGGTGGAGGATTCAATGGATTTGTTAAAGAGTGTTGCAATGATTGGTGATAGCACTTGTGACACTTTTTTGTATATAAAGGGTGGTAAGGTATTTAAATCTCCTGCCTTGTTTTTTAGTGCGTTGATAATAAGGGAGACTTCGAAATGGGTTAGTCGGAGCTAGGAACAGTGTGTTCGGGTAGTTGCCGGTGAGGTAGTCATTTGGTGGGGTATCTGAGCTTGGGATTTTATTGGCAAGGTTTTGTCCTATAGTGGAGAAGAAATCATTGAGTCTGTTTGCTGTTTCTGTTGGTGGGAGTTGGGGTTCATCTGATTTTGCTAATTTTATTTCGCTATTTCGTGATATCTTTTTTGTTCCCAGAATTTCTGATAGGGTTTTCCAGGTCTTTTTTATATCACCTCGTAAGTTGGATAATCTGTTCTCATAATACAATTTTTTTGCCCTTCTTATCAGGCTGGTTAGGATTGACGAGTAACGTTTTGTTTGGTCTCTGGTTATGTGACCCATTCTGTACTGTTTTTCATATTGGTGTTTTGTATTTATGGATTTGAGAATGCTGGTGTGTTAGCCAGGGACTGTTCAGTCTCTTAGCTGTCATCTGCTTAGTTTTTTTAGGGCAGTGCTTGTTATAGAGGTATTGAGTCTTTTTTAGAAAATTATTAATACATTCGTCAATATCTGTATTGATTTCTAGCTCAGTGTGCCAATCAATGTTTGCTAATGCTGTTGTGAAGTTATTAATGGCTGCCTCATTGTGAAGTCTGAAGGTGACTTTAGTAGTGTCTTGGGGTAATTTACCAAGAGTTGTTATGAGGAAAGTAGGGTGTGGTCTGTGGTATTATCTGTAATTATGCCTGATTTTAAAGGGGATATGGTGTTGGTCCAGATGTGGTCAAGTAGGGAAACACTAGTCTCTGTAACTCTTGTAGGTTTTGTTACTGTTGGTAGCAACATACAGTTACTCATTGTGTTTGTGAATTCAGTAACGTGTGGGTCCTGGTCTTGCAGGAGATTTATATTGAAGTCACCTGAGAGTAGTAAGTGATCTTTGTTCATGCGTGCATCAGTTATCATACTTCCTAGGTTTTGACTAAATTGGCTAATGTTTGACTGTGGAACTCTGTAGATGTTTATCAATGTGAGAGGTTTTTGTAGGTATTTGGATTTGAATTTGGCTATTATATATTCCCCATGTTCATCTCTTGTGCAAGTATTAGTGATACATTCTAGTTGGTCTGAGTAGTATATGGCTGTGCCACCCCCTTGTTGGTCTGGCCTACAGTTGTGTATGGCTGTGTAACCAGGAATGGTATAGACATCTGTAGTATCAGGCTTTAGCCAGGTTTCAGTTAGTGTAATGATGGACATATTGGCATGTAAGGAATTTAGT